CCCGCCCGTCTGCCCGTGGTGCCAGGACAAGGACCCCAGTCAGCAAGGACAGGAAACAGACCCCCGCCTAGTCCCGCCCCCCCCCCCCCAACCCAGGCACACTTCCTCTCTGATGGGGGGAAGTCCTCCTTATCGAAGCTGCTGCTCTTTGTGCGTTCCCATGAGCGCTCCTTTTGCTCCTTGGCAACTCCCTGCAAAAACACAACCCCCCCCCCCCAACATGTGCTGCACAATTAATCCATTAAAGAAAAAGTCCAACAAGGGAAAATCATTTAACCGGAACCCAGTGGAGAAACATTTATGACCAAACATTGATATCAGTTTTGTTAATGGAGGATTGCCAGATAAGAAGATTTCACTGTTGCTCCTAGAAATGAATGACCAAAATCTATTTTATGTGCAAACATTGAGCCATAACTCACTTCTTTGTTTCTAGTTGTGTCCAAACAGTTACATTTTTATTCTCACTGGAGCAAATGAGCTTTGATTTTTCATCAATTTTACCACAAAAATTGAATAATCGCAACTATTTGTGCAGTTTTCACTTCCTTCTGCAGTTTGATTGCTAAAAAATGTCTAAAAACAACAACAACATGTAGCTCTGTTTCGTAGAAAAGCTGCTGTGAAATAATTTTAGGATGCAACAACCTCCAAAAACCTGTACAATAGCTGCTCGGTGTCAGTCCTTCCAGCTGTGGAGCCTGAACATGTTGATCTTACTAATAATAGATAAATCATCAGTGTGTTTGATCTCCTGTGTACCGGTGTAATTGATGGATGACTGAACACATCATCAGGAGTTTGTGTTTCTGTACTGGCTGACCTGAGGGTGCGTTCGTCAGTCCAGCTCTATGGAAACTGTCAGGGCGGTGTTACATATATTATATCCCACCACAGTTAGCAGCATTTTTGTGTCTGTACGTAGTCTGGACCCGTCACTGCAGAGTTTGGAAATGGAGGAACGTTTTGGCACATCGCGATGGCAAAAAAACACATCCTGCCGCCGGACCGCCAACGGTTACTTGATCTGCAGGAACATGAAGGAAAACCAGAGTGTGGAACCAGAAACTGTCAGAGCGCCTTTAACTGAAGATCCAGACGTCCGATGACTAAAATCCTTCATCCGGTTCAAATCTAGAGTTAAAAACCACCAAGATCTAAACAGTGGGTGGTAAAAATGTGGCTAACAGCTAATAGACTGAGGCTAAAGCTAACAGGTGCCAGATTATGATATCATGGTAACGGACTGAGCCGAGCTGCTGCTAACGTTAGCTCAGCTTGTTTGTCTGATAACTTAAGATCCAGACGTCAGATGACTAAAATCCTTCATCCGGTTCAAATCGAGCTCCAATCAGAGCCAATTAATAAAGTTTGATTATAAAACTGTTACTACTGTTAACAGTGGCTCCAGTGTGAAAGTCCAGGGTATGAACATATACTGAAATTACACAACTACACATGATAGTAAACAGAATAAACCTAAATGCAGCAGTCTGGAGGTTTGTGTATCTGCTGCTGCAGGAGCTGTTGCAGTTTCCTGCTATTTACTGCTGATCTGGACTTCCTGTTTCCTGTTTCAGCCTCGAGACAAAAGCTTCATTACACCGAGAGAGAGACAGAAAAACCAGCCCAACAAATGATTCCTTTAGTTTTCATGATTTAAAGCAACAGTTCCCTCATTAAACTGTGTATATATACATTTATGTTCTATCTGGTGTTGAGTTGATTTATTATCACAAATGTTTCCAACAATGTTCAGAGAAAGAAATCTGTCACTTTATTCAAGGTAACGGTGAACATGACTTTTGCCTTCTGTTATTGTTTTAAAGTGAGAGGCCCCCTAGTGGCAGAAGCTAAAGAGTGTCCATTTTTAAAGGACACAACCCGTCCACAAACGAATGAAGCGTGAAAAGCTTAAAATGCTTCGTTGTCTGTGTGGTTCGTTGGACGCTAACGTTCTTTCTCTTCCGCCGGATCAAACACATCCGGTTCGATAACGTTGAAAGAGATGCCCATGTTAGTTATTGTGCGATAAGTTCCAGCCATCCCCCCTTTCCTGTCATCCCCTGTCCTATCAAAATAAAGGCATAAAAAGGCCCAAAAAACTTTACACTGACAAACATCAAACGTTTAATTCATGAATTCAAACTGGATCAAAAAATGATTCGTCTCTCGTTGACTATCGTACAGTTTTCTTTCCTGAAATGGTTGGTAACCAACCTTTGGGTCGGGACCCTCACGAGTGGAAAAGTTAAAACATATACACAGTAGACTGATATCTCAACATTTAGGTTCACTTCTGTGAAGAAATGTTAAAAGTAAATTAAGTCAATTGTAGAACAATGTCCAACCGTCTGGGACAAGAAAACACTGAATTATAATGAAACAATTATTAAACATACATTATTAATTACAGACTAAAAGAATAAAAAGTTCCCTAAACTGGAAATAATCTGCTCCGAATTTATCCAAATCTCTGGTTTTATACAAACTTCCTGCAGGTACGGAGTTCACTGTTTGGGTTCATTGTGCAGTTTTAATATAAGATAATATATATATATAAATATATGGAAACAGGTTGCCGGGGCGACCCAGAGGACCATCAGATGATGAACAGGTGGCATTCCTCCATACGAAGCCAGCAGAGCTCGATCTGCACATTAATCAGATTCTTTTCAATTCAAAATCTGATGAATTCCTTCAATATGTCGGCCTCACGCCTGCCTGGGAGGGAGGTTGGGAGGGGTGAGGAGGGTCTTTGTTCGTGAAGAATAGGGAGTGGGGGGGTCGCCCGTGGCGGGGCGTCCTGCGAGCCGGCAGATGGCCGATAGGACGAGCAAACAAAGGTGGACAGCGGACTTTCTCCATTCAGAGTGTCTGAGCTCTGAGACACAGAACGGGGGAGGATGGAGGGGGAGTCAGGGATGGGTGAGAGTCAGAGGACTGTTGACACTCAACCTTTACTGACGCTGTGAGATCTGTTCACCTCAGACACAAACTGATTTCATTCATATTAATAATATTCTTCCCTCCAATAACTTAATCATTAGTTATTAAACTAATGATTAAGTTATTGATTAGCAGTTGCCTTCAGTCGCAGCTTCAACAGGTTTTAGGTTGAAGACTTCTCATTTTTATTGGGTTCAAAGGATCAATATTATCCTTATTATCAATAATAACCATATTATTATTGATTCTTGATAAAGTTTCCTATTTGATTAAATTAAAAATTTTTGTTCTGAATAAAAAAATGGAAAAAGTAAAATTATTATTATTATATAATATTTTAATATATCAACATTTCTCTGAAGGTCGGCCTGTTGAACTTTCTGTATTGATCTAAATGGAGCCTGAAGGTGATCAGAAATCAATAAAAACCTGTTTGTGGTTCTGAGACTTGTTGAATATTCTCTCCGTCTCCGTCGGGGCGCTCCAGCTGTCGAGCTTTCTCCTCAGCTCTTCCCGTCCTCAGTGAGAGAGGTCAGAGGTCACCGATGCATTCGAGGAGCATTGTGTTGCCATTGGTTCTCTCTCTCTCTCTCTCTCTCTCTCTCTCTCTCTCTCTCTCTCTCTCTCTCTCTCTCTCTCTCCTCTCTCCCCGTCCTTCCTCCTCAGCTCTCTGACCTCTGGGACAGGATGGGCGTCGCTCCGCCCGAGCTTGCTGCTACAGCACACTGAAGCTGGAGTCAGCCGTGACCTTTGACCTCTCCCTGGCTCGCTCAGGAAATGAGCCCTCGCAGTTCTTTCTGGAGACGAGTGTGTGATTATTATTATTATTTGTGATAATGTTGGATGTATTTTAGATTTTATACGGAGGGAAAGATTCAGATTATGTAAAGTCCTGGAAAAGTCCTGCTGGAGTTCTAAGTTTTCAATTGATGGTGAAAAGTAATAAAGTACAAATACTTTGTACTTAAGTTTTTATTTTTATGACAACTTTTTACTTTTACCTCCGAAATGTTTTCTGCGTCTTACGCTTCGGTTCTAATACATTTTAGGGGAATTATCGATTATTACTATCGGTACTCGACATAATCTGTAAAATTGTGTTAAATATTGATATTGTGATCTCGCTTTGTGGTTCACACTCGAGCGCAGTCGATGGTTCAGTCGGCTAAAAAGTTAAAGACGGGACCGGCTGAATGTCTTGCTGCTCTATTTGAGCTCTAGCTACCGTTAGCAGCGACCAATTACCCAGTAGCTACGACGCCGAAATGAGCGCACGGAAAGTTGGCGAAAACATTTCCAGCAGCGCAGAGAAATCTGAAACTATTTTTGAGATTTTTTTATAAGTTAAGATAAAGATAAAAAAATCTTGATTCTTACATAAAATGATTTTGTAGTTTTTACTTTTTCCAGCAAGTTTTGCAAATAAAAGCCTAAAATCAGGCGTTTTGTGTTGGGCTCGTTAATTTATTACTCGTTACTCTTTTCAAAAGTAACATTATTACTTTACATATTACTCCCTGCCAACAATAATTAGTTACACTACTAGTTTTATTACTTTTCTGCTGCTCCCAAAACTGGTAATTATGTCTTTTTTCCCTAAAATTCGGACTTACGACGATTGAAACTGTTTTTTGTTGTATAAATTAAAGTAATGTGAATAATTCCAAACTATTTTCCTCCACGATGACAAAAATGAATCCAAGGATGTGACTGAATTGAATTCTTCTGACATTTTATAAGTTTTATAAGTAACAATTAATTCTAAATATCACATTCATCGATAATAAACGTGTAGCTTTTTGCTCTGCTGCTGAAAACTTCAAGTTTCTTAAAATAGCTGCAGTCTGATGACCTCACAGCGAAGAAACAGAAAACGAGGAGAAAATTGTTTCACATACCAGCAAAACCAAAATAAACAGAGGACAGAGTGAGGAGGAGGAGGAGACGTCATGGAAGAGCTCCACAGAGGAGGGAGGGAGGGAGGGTCCGTACAACAGCAGGCTCTGTGTGCTGAGAGCTCATAAAGCCCCTCCCTCCCTCTGTTCTCCCCCAACAGATGAGCCGGTGTGAGGAGAGGGGCGAGCGACATACACAAACACAGGGGGAGAGAGAGAGAGAGGGAGCAGCTGGAGGCGACAGAGAGAGCTGCAGTAGTAAAGAGAGAGAGAGAGAGGAGGCAGCAGGACGGAGGAGAATGAAGGAGCTGCTGAGTTTCTGAAGAAAACAAACCGGTGAAAAATACTTTTATTGTTTTTATTCACTTTTGTTCATTGATGGAAATTTACGTTTTTTATTTGTTAAATTCTGTTTGTGTTTATTTTCACCTCCGAATCTGTTTGTTTGAGCTCCAAAAGAAAACGAGTAAAAGCTGGATAATGTTGTTTTTCATGGCGGGATGTGTTTTTATTGATTACCTACGATATGTATCAGAGAACCAGCTGAAGATGTTTTAATCAGATTAAAGTCAATAAAATAGTTTTAAGGGAAACAGATGGAGAGTTTGGAGCATTAATGTTCTGTAGTTTGAGTGAACAAACCAATCAGAACAGATCAGGATAAGGAAGCATTGATAAAATCTGGTCTTAATTTAAAACATTTAATATAATAATAATATCTGTAGTAATACTAATAACAGCTGCAGTATTAATAGTATTAGTACTAATAGATGTTGTTAGTGTTGGAGCTCTAGTCGAGTTTGGTCGAATGTAATTTGATTCATTTTAATTAAATTCATTTGCTGACATCTTGTTGCAGTGATGTCACAGCGTACTGCAGGCTGCGTCGGTGCACTGTGATGTCACTGCAGGTTAAAAAAACAAACTTAAGTTGTTGTTTAAGGAATTTAAGTATTAAAGGTTCATTCAAGACATGAACAAAACTAACAGCCAACCAGACCACATGGTCTTCATCAGCAGATTTACTGAGCTGGATGGAAAATAAAGCTACTTTAGAAGCTAACGCAAAACTTCTCATCAGACATTTTAATCGATTATAAGCGGCTGATATACGATATACTGTCCTGAAGGTCTTCAGGTGTTTGTTTTTATAATGAATGCAGACTGACGCCACCTGCTGGTGTGGAGAGGTATTACCGCACAACGTACGAGCGAGTTCGCCGTTCGCTGTAGTCGGTTTGTTTCCCAGACTACCATTTATAAACAGAGGAACAATAAACAGCATAGATCGTTTTTGGTTTTCTGTTTTTATTTTCGAAACAGCAACAGGAAACAGGTTGTTTATTCCTTTATTTCTAAATGATAGCTGGTTTTATATTACATACGTTACATTTCACTCCTACAGTATAAAACAGTGTAATGTCAGTATTAATGACCAGAGGGGGTCAGCAGGGGCCCGTAGCTCACTGTTGCCCCCATAGCAGGTAAACGCAGGTTACAGCAGTGTTGGTAGAAGCATTAGTCGCTGTTGTTGCAGTCGTCATAGAAACGGTTTCAGTCGTATTTGTGTTTCTCTTTAGTCTTGAAAAAGTGAAATATGTGTAAAGTTATTTATATAAATGTCTGTTTGAAGTCTGAGTTCACATTTCCTGGCAGATAAACAACAGTCTGTATTTTATGTCCTCCGTCTGTCTAACGTTGATGATGTTATCCTCCAGGTTACGATGGGAAACGCAGACAGTCACAGCAGCTTCGTGGCTCCTGCCAAGCCCTCCTGCGCGCTCAGGTTCTCCTCCAGGAGGGAGGAGGTGCCATCAGCTCGCAGCTGGTGGAGGAGCAGTCAGGGAGGCAGCAGGAGCCGGGGGAGGAGCTACCAGCACCAGCACGCCGCCGGCCCGCCGTACACTTCCTGGCATTATGAACATGCGCCCAAAGCAACCAGAGGGGGCGCCAAGCTGGGAGCCGGATCTCCTCAGAGATACATGAGAGGCGAGAGGGCGCAGGGCGGCTGCAGGAACCAGTTTGGTTACTTGGAGAATGGCGTTGGGAGTAACGGTGAGCGGATGTCGTTGGAGAGCGGCGGCAGCCCGAAGGTGCTGCTCAGCAAAGATGGCAGCATGAGGGTGGAGTTCACCAACGCCAGGGTCGGCGCCATGGAGCCACAGGCCACCGCCGCCGCCACCACCCCAGTCACAGAACCCTCCCTCCGCACCAGCAAGGGGAGCTCGCTCAGCTCCGACGGCTCCTGGTACGACTCGCCATGGGGGACCGGCGGCGAGCTGGCTGACAACGTGTTCGTGTGCGGGGAGAGCGTGGCTAACAGCAGCGGCTACACCACCTACTCCTCCAGCCGCACAGAGGAGAGCGCCACTGCCAGCAGCGGGTTACAACGCCTTCTTCTCCGCTCAGGTGGACATCTCACCTGGATTTAACTCCAGCCTCCTCTTCCCCGCCGCAGGCACCAGCGAGTTCACCTCCGCCGCAGGTTACAACACCTGCTCCTCCGGTCGCACGGAGGACAGCGGCATCGGAGACTCTGTGATCTTACAGTCTGACCTCGGAGACTTCGGCCTGGTTTCACCTTCCACCACCTCCCTGGACGCCGTTTACCACACGCTGCCCGCCTTCCCCACCGCCCCAGACTCCTCCCTGCAGCAGCAGCAGAGGACCGCCTTCTCCTCCACGGCGCTGCTGGATGACGTCATCCAGGAGGAGGAGGGGTCAGGAGGAGGCGTGGAACAGCGTTACTCCTCCCTCACGCTACCCTGTCGCAGGACCGAGCCTGACGTTACCGCTGCCAGCGCCGGGAACAGCCGCAAAGACTTCCTGAAGAGCCGAATCAGACGACTCAGCGACTGGACGGGAAGTCTGAGCAGGAAGAAGAGGAGGATCCAGGTAGGAAACAACGACAGCAGCAGAATTTAAAACAATACAACATCCTGTAAGAGGGAGTCATAGTTGTACAAGTACGGAAGATTTAAAATGCTTTAATGAATAACATATATATAAAAAATAAATGTTAATTGTCATTAAATTACGATGCACATATAAGAAGGACATTTTTTTTATATATAGGTATAGAGACTTTATACGTCTTATTTTTGTGTTAAAGGGCAATACAGTGTTTTATGTCCCTCTAGTGGCCACAGGAGGAATTACAACAACACTGTTTCCTCTTTTCGTTCCTTTAACTCGCAGCTTCCGGTTTGTTTTGTTAATTTTAATAAAAGAAAAATTAAAAACCAGATCAAACCATCTGATCCCTCCTCAGGAGCCACACGGCAGTGACACCAGTGACATTTTTGTCAACCGGCTTGACTCCGGATCCGTTGGCTGTGGTACGCTGTGGTCCTCCAACCCTCTCCACGCTCTGAACCAGAACCAGAACCAGAACCAGTTCCCGGCGGTCCACTGTGGCTCCTCCAGGAGCCTGAACCAGAGCGGTGACCTTCAGCGCCAGAATGTCTACGAGAACTTCATGCAGGAGCTGGAGACGGGCTGCAGCAGCGCGGCCGAGCGCACCGAGCCGTCGGAGGGGGATGGCGAGGAGGAGGAAGAGGAAGAGGAGGAGGAGGAGGAAGAGGGGAGGGAGGAGGAGATGGATGGGGAGGTGGAGGTGGGAGGAGGCGAGCAGCTGGATGTCCTGTTTGAGAAGGAGCAGGGTGTGGTGCGACGGGCCGGATGGCTCTCCTTCAAAGCTCTCATCACCGTCAGCAAGGACAGGAAGCTGGAGCTGGTCGCTCGCCGCAAGTGGAGACACTTCTGGGTGACACTGAAAGGTAACGCCGCTGCCGCCTGAGCAACAGATCGATCTGAAAGAGTTCATTATTTATAAATTTATCAAGGAAACTGTTTACTGAGCTCATAAATCAAGTGAGAAGTTAGATTGTTTCCCCATAAGACTCAATACTATCTTTCATGCAACCAGTGGAGCTGCCCCCTGCTGGCTGTTAGACAGAAGGCAGGTTGTTGGCGTCACTTCACAAACCAGGAAGCTCTGTCCGTTGTGTATATACTGTCAATAATAACTGTTGTTAACGATGTTTGGCAGCACATAAACTTTAGCCGCCACCATTTCCTCACATATCCGTACTGAGCATGTGCAGCTTTTGGCCCCTCTGGTGTGTAATAATGGATCGCTGCGTCCCCTCAGGTTGCACTCTGCTGTTTTACGAGACTTACGGGAAAAACATGAGCGCCGAGCAGGAGCTTTCTCCTCGCTACGCTCTGCTGGCCGACGACAGCATCGTCCAGGCCGTCCCCGAACACCCCAGAAGGGAGCACGTCTTCTGCCTGAGCAACTCGCACGGAGACGTCTACCTGTTCCAGGTGAGACGACCGCTCACACACACTTTTTATTTCATCCGTTGTTGTGTTTTATTTCTGGTTTTGGTGCAGATTTTTGCAGAAACTTTAGGATGTTTGTTGGCAAATTTAGTGAAATTGAGATGTCTGAGAGTTGAGCTGCTGTTGGAGCGTCCTTGAATGCACCACAAACAACTAGAATCGAATCTGAATCTTTTATTTTTGTAAAGAACATTTTAACATTACGTCTCTGTTCACACTCTTTTTATTTCATTCATTATTGTTGTTATGGTATTTCTGTTTTTTGTGTAGATCTTTGCAGGAATCTTGTGAAATCATGATATCTGAGAAGCAAACATTGTGGTAAAACTGTTGTCCTTGAACGCACCACAGACAACCAGAATCAAGTTTCAATCTCTTGTTTCTGTAGAGAACATTTCTAACATTTCTGCGGGAAACTGCGGCCGTTTTTCCGGGAAGTTCTCGCCCCGTTTCTATATTTGAATCCTCTCAGTTCTCTCCACATTGGCTGACTTTTGATTGCTGGCTGCGTCTCTTCTCCTCATCGTGTGTGATTTCAGTCCCAGAACGGTGTGAATGAATGAGACGCAGTGTTGGGAGCAGGGTTGCGGTTTCTCTGCGGCACTGAACCATCAACGTCACCACAAACATGCACACAGCCGGAGCACATTTTAGGACTTCAATGTGGATTGTAGTTTGAGTCCTACAGAGGATAACAGCAGAGAGCAGGACTTGAGAGGGTCAGAGGTCACAGAATTGGCCTAAAAATAGATGCAACACGTTTCCTGTGTTCCTCGCTGGCGGAGGCGTTGTTGACCTGAAGGGAACATTTGTCTCTGCGAGCATTTATCTTCATCCTCGAGCTTTTTACGACCTCAGAGAGCACTTTTTCTTTTAATTCCCAGAGTAGCTCTCACTCCTCTGAGCTGTAGAGTGTGTTTACAGACACACAAATCACACAGCGGTTCATCGACACGTCTCCATGGTTCCCCCGGAGGGCTGAGGAGGAAGAGGAGGAAGAGGAGGAGGGGTGAGCGGCACGGAGGTGTCGAGGAGCTTTTATAAGGAGCTGAAAGGGGCTGAAGATGGAGGGTGAAAGCCCTCTAATGGGAGTCACAACAGCCGGCTAATTACTGCAACAAATGCCCCTCTTTACGACAATGACCCCGACAACGAGCTGCTAAATCCTCCGAAACAAAAACACCTGTTAGTGTGAAGAAATGAGAGCGTCTGGTCTCCATTTGACCATTTATTTTATTTTTAAAGCCCCCCCACGTCCTCCTCCAGTCAGAAACCAGAGTTTCTTCCTGTTCAACAGTCTGACGTTTGGATGACGTATGTGCTGTTTGACTAGAAGGATGTTTTCACATTCATCTGGTCCAGAATGCAATTTCTATAGTTCGACAGGAAAACTCCTGATCAATATTCACAGGAAATAATCTTCATCCAAATCTCTGGTTCTGGTTCTCTTCTTCCTGCAGTTACTGAGTTCACTGTTTGGATGTACAGTTTTGAATATAATATATACACACTATACAAATAACTTGCTTTCACTGACATTTCTTGGTCTTATTTGATAGTAAAGTGGATAAATTTAAATTAAATATATAATTCATAATATATAAATTTGTGTGTTTTGGACTGTTGATCCGACAAAACAACCAATTTAAATATGTCAAACTTTAGCTTTGGAAAATTGTGATGAGTCTCAAACAGTTAATCAATTAATTGGCATTCATCAGCAGATTCAGCAACAAATTTTAAAATGGTAACGCTGTGTTTTCTTCATTTCTAATTACATTTTTGTTCATTTTTCTTGTTTTATTTAGTTTCTTTTATATTTATTTAAATGTTCTTTCCTCGTGTTGTTGTTGTTGTTGCTGTTGTTGTTGTTGTTGTTGTTGTTGTTGTGTAATACACCAGTTCCTGTTAACATTCCTCATTAACCCTCCTCGTCCTCCTTCAGGCCACCAACCAGACCGACCTGGAGAACTGGGTGACGGCGATCCACTCGGCGAGCGCCTCGCTGCTGGCGAAGCGTCAGGGGAAGGAGGACACGCTGCGGCTCCTCCGCTGCCAGAGCCGCTCGCTGCTGCACAAGATCGACATGGACGGGAAGATGAAGAAGATGGCGGAGCTGCAGCTGTCCGTCATCAAGGAGCAGAAGAACAGGAAGGCCGTGGAGAGCCAGGTCAGTGTGAGCCGGAGGTTCACCGGGACCAGAGAGGCCCTTTAATGGAGGCAAATTGGCCCATTAAGGTCGTTAGTGAGCTGTGATCTTCTGCCGGGGTCACAGGTTCAATTCCCTTTGAGGTTCAGTGGGTGCAACAGTGTAAGCTGTACTGTAAATATATACAACGAAAATACAATTTATTTTAATTTAAACTATTTAATGGTTCTTATAATTGATTAATGAAGACAAACAAAGACAAAGTGAATCTCTTTTCACTGTTTTCTGACGTTTTATAGATGAACTTTCTGACAGGTAATAATTTACTTTAGTGGAAGAAAACTCACTAAGTTCAACTTAAGTCGAAACATTTGTATAAATTTACTTTATTAATATAAATTCTGTGAACACATTTTAAATGCGTTTGGAGAAATGCTGCCTGATTGTGATATACTCACTAGATCAATTTACTTTGAACTTCTGAACATTCACACCAATGACACTTTGTAATCACTTCCTTGATTATAAAATGCAGGTCCAGTGTATTAATCATATAAATAACCTCAGAATTAATAAAAATCAGCCCATCGGGAGTTGAAATGTGGCAACTTCAATAACCCCCAAAACCAACTCCAATATTGTCCATAAAAGTGATTATTAATGCTGATCATTCAAACTGCCCAACATGTGGAAGTTAGCACTGTACGTTGCTAACACGTGGCTGCAGAGTTGACTAATATGAAAAGTGGTGAACATATTTTTTGAAAGAGTTTGGAGTAAAAATGTTCTTAAATGGTTCATTTAGTCTCAGATTCAGTCTTCAAGGTCTAATTTATTCCTCAGAAGCAGACAGACGTCTGGCAGGGGAGGTCAGATAATTCCACTTGTTAGTGGTTCAGTTTACTCTTTTCTTTTAGACATTAGAAAGTGATGGAGGTGGAAGGAAACATTGGAAATCATGAATCAGGGACATTTCAGGTCAACAACTGCGATGGAAACGTTTGTGGTTTGGAGTCAGCGTGCGGCTGTTACTCGCTTACCGTTTTTATTTCAAGAAAAAAGATGATTTTACTTCACTAACGGACAAAATGACTTAATTTGATGCACAATTTGGATTCTCAGCCTGTTGTAATGGACTAAACTCGCTCTGTTTCTGACATTATTATGAGTTTGAGAGGGTTTTCCTTTGCTAAGTGGAGCCACGGTGACCTTAGCAAGGACCGTGGAGACCCTGAGCTCAGGTGAAAGTGTTAACTGAAAGAATAACCTGCAGAGATGAGGGATCTTATAAAGCTGTTAGCATCCTGCTGGCAGCGTTAGCAGCTGTTGAGCGCCAGAGGAAACAGTAGAAGTCTTTACATAACAAACAGCCTTGAGGATGTTCTGGCAGCGCGTGGAGCAGAAAAATGTCCAATCTCACGTGGAGTGGAGTTTAATATCTGTTCCAGATGTTTCGGGCTGTTACCGGCAGCCTGAAACAACAAACGGTTTCCCGCTAACGACGGAGCCAGATGAGGCTGCTGAGAGTGACATCACGAGGCGAATGTGGAGATGGTGACAGCGGCGTAAAATCCAAACCTGTGTGAAGAGAAAATACACCAGAGTGAGGTTTGATCGTCTCAACGGACACTTTAACAGTCCCACGATGGCCATTTTTAATTTATGTCTGTGTGTAGTGAAACCACCACTCACACTATAGTGCTTTATTATTAATTAGTCACTGAATCAATTGTATTTATGTCATTATTGGATTTTAATCTTTATTTTAAATGTTATTTATGTAGCACATTTCATACAGTAGCCGTAGATTCACTGTGTTCAAGATAAAAAACAAATGAAAATAAAAGATCATGCAGGATAAAGACATATAGATAAGAACATATAAAGTAAGGAAGTCGAATATGAAAACCAAGCGACAACACAGAATTAACAAAAGCTGCAGGTCCTCTGACGGCCACTAGAGGCTGGCTCCAGCAGTGAGTCAATCTCCGTATTAAAATGTCCAACTTGAGAGCAGAAATAACAGCTTTACGCTAACGTCCGCCTATATCTCTTGAAAATAAGACGCAATGTCCCTCGTTTTATCAAGAAGAATTGCTTTGGGTTGCTCCGTCCTCGTTTTGGGCTGCAAAGGATTCAAAAGCAGCGATTTAGAAAGCTGACGTAAATAAAAGAGAAACAATTAGACGATGTGATTCTTTTGGTGTTTATCATTTTTAACAAGCAGCTTTCAGTCCTGTTGTCTTGGTGTTAAGCTACAGAAGACAGAATTACGCAGTACCTCACCGGCATTGCTGTACAACGGGATTATTTTACAACTTCTATTGTATACGTCTTAAAAATACCTCAGTGTGTACGGCCATGCTCCCCAGTGGTGGTGGTACTCAATAAGAAGTAAGGGTACTCGTGGGAAATAAGTCCTCGGTGCTGGTGATAACAGCCCGTTTCAGGCACTGATTGGTGGTTGAGGGTTTCGAGATGTATTGTCCTGCTGAAATCTCGCTCTGATAAGCAGTGGAGTAGCTGAGTTGATGGTTTAATTAAAGAAACAGCGATGAAACGTGGAACTGAAGACACAGTGCAGATTGTATGTATCATTTAGCAGCTGCTTAATCTCTTTCTCTGAACTGTGAAACTGATCCCAGCGCTGTCGTTTGAACTCTGGCGGGAGATTAAAGGCTAATCTCACTGCTCAACATTCAATTACACATTCACTCTGGAGGGGAGGAAGGGGGGAGAAGAGGTTTTTTTTCTCGTATATATTCTCTCAAATGTTGTTTTATTTTGTGTGTGTGTGTTTAATGAGGACTTTTATTTCCAAGTTTAACATATCTGCTGAGTTAGCGTGGGAAAGAGTCAGAGAGCGAAGTAACAAGGGAGGACAGGATGGAGAGAGGGGGGAGGAGAGATTCCTTTCATTGGTCCTGTGTGGAGATGTTAGATTAGTGTGATTGGGAGAAGAGAGGACTAATAACAGAACTAATAAAGAATATTTGACAGCCAATAGAGACTTTATTGTTGAGTACCCCAAAGTTTTATGCCAGATGTTAATGTGTGTTTGTTCGGCATTATTAAAATCATCATAATCACCTTTGTGGACAATATTTCAGGAACTTCTTGGCAGATGTGGACAACATTGGAGTTGGTTTTTGGGGGTTATTGAGGAAGCTGAATACATTTCAAACAACAAAATGGCTGTTTAAACTGGATCCGACCATATTTCAACTACTGGTGACCTGATTTTGATTCATTTTAAGGTTATTTATATGTTTAATACACGACCGCAGTGGGGAAACTGTGTCTTTGGTCAATGCTGCACAGCTTAAGGACGTTTATAAAAATGATCCGGCCATAGTTCTCCATATTTATAAAACAGAAAACCAAAATCAGGAAACTACTCGTTTTTAGTTTTCTCATTTTACTGTTGACAGTTTACTGACTGAAAGTCGTAAACTGGGATTTTTGTCTGAATGAATTGGGTCCTGGCAGGAAGCTGCTCAGTGATTATATAATAAATGACCCTATTGTGTGCTGCTGTGTGCAGATCCTGCAGTGGGAGCAGAACCTGGAGAAACTGAACCTGGATCTGTTCCGGTTGCGGTGCTACCTGTCCAGCCTGCAGGGCAGCGAGCTCCCAAACCCCAAGAGCCTCCTTGCTGTGGCCAGCCGGCCCTCCAAGAGCATGCTTGGACGCCTGGGAGTCTTCTCTGTGTCCTCCTTCCACGCCCTGGTAAGAACTGCCTCCACCTCCTTGTAGACCGTCTCACTCTGTAGACGGAGAATCTCTCACAGTGGGACCTCTCGTCTCTGCTCAGGTGTGCAGTCGGGATGAGGCGACGCTGAGGACTCGGAGTCGGACTCTGTCGGGAGGCAACCTCAGGAGGAGGGGCCTGCCGTCCTCTCTGAAGGCCCTGGATGGACTGAGCAGACGCAGGAGGGACGACAGACACTCCTTGTCCCAGGTACAAAACCCAATACACCGTACAATACCCACCGTACACTGCAACAACAACCAGGTACTGAACTAGAAACGAGAGAACTCAGTTATTTAAGGTGGACTTTCAAAAAACAAGTCTTTATTGAGCTGAATTTGAGATCATTCATTTATATTTTGATGCATTTTGTGATCAAACTTTTTTCACAACCTATACCCAGAGACAATGTCCTTCACAAAACTTGGATCCATTTTTCTTCTTCCTTTTCATTGTGAGAAAGATGAAATCAACGCTAACCTTAAACCTTTCCTACAATCTGGAATCCTGAGCAGATCTGAGGAGACAAACAGTTCAGAGTTAAAGTTTCACCTATGGTCTCTTTCTCTGTGTTGTCTGTCGGCCTCGCTCTATCAGCTCTCCAAAAAAGGCAAAATGCCACAAAACACCTTTAAAAAAAACCAACCTGATCTCACATGTTTGCAGTGAGGCTGTTTTCCGACCCAGCTTCAACTGTGGATCATCAGCCAGCTGAAGTTCCCATCATCCTCGGCTCCTGAGGGCCCCCCTCTTTGATAAACAGCGAGCTATTTTAGGACTCGGAGAGTCTGGGATTTAGAGTCCAGAGGAGATAAATCTCTCTGCAGCTGAAGGTTTATTTTGGCCGCGATGCCGTACACATCTTCGTATTAACGCGTCCTCACAGCGTAAACATACTTTTATCAACCTGAAGGGTAAAAAAACATTTTTTAACACTCCTGGTCGACAATATATGGCCAAAAGTCTGTGGACACCCGTTTTGGTTGGGAGGTTCTGGCTCCACAAGCTGCCAGATGTGGCAGCAGTTTGTCTCCACAGTCCTGCTCTGGTTTTATCTTCCAATCAGCAGGTGATTTACTTCCTGCTGCAGAAAATGGACCAATCAGAGAGGTCTCTGAGGTGGCTGACAATTTTGTAGGTGCTTTTTTGTTCAAGCTTGAGAAATAATTTGTATTATTTTCATTCACAATTTAAACATCTGCTTCTAAAAGGCACGTAAACTGTTCTCATGTGTAAATACCTTCAAGAAGCAGTTGTTCTCTCTTTTACAATAATACTGTCTGGCCAAAAGTTTGTGAACACGGTTACTCTCACGATAGACGATCTGAGATCTCAGCGCCTATCAGTCCTTCTGAGATTTCTAAATGCAAAGTAATTGTATGAATGGGCGCTAACAAACATACAACCTTTACTTTAAGGACACGCCTCACCTGAAACAGTGCTCTCCCCCAATTTACCTCCAAAACTTTGAAAAGAGACGTCCTGTGCAACGTCCAGTTTAGACAATTAAAGCTTTTTATCTCATAATTTCAACTTTTTGCTTCATAATTTTTACCTTACCTTTATTGCCAAGGCTTGCCAAGTTTTTTTATGTTTTTATTTTACTGGCAGTAATGGGCTTCCATACCAAACAGTAATAATACAAACAGTATTCACCAATTATTATTATTATTATTAATAGCAGACAGAGGACGCCCTGGCTGCGAGCCGAGCTGCTGCTAACGTTAGCTCAGCTTGTTTCTCTGATAAGGTCCAGACGAAACATATTCTAGCTTTAAATTTGATTTACAAGAAGTTGTGTTTGCATGAATACCGATAAAGAATATAATGTATTTTAGAGAGTTTGGCTCATTTTATCTCTCTTAGGAATTTTTACATCTGAATTTGTTCAAATAGGTGAATGAATAAGTTTCTCTCACACGATCCTGAACTTGCAGACTGTAATGGGAAATCTTGGTCAGTGGTCCAAAAGAAAAAAAAACCCCAAAGATAATGAAATGAAACCTTGAAACTGCTGCTGAGTGCTGAGTTTTGTGGATCTGTCCTCCGATCAGACCCGATGAGGTTTCTGGGCAGACCCACAGAGACTGTCTGATCTCTGAAGGACATGTGGAGTTAATCGCTGCGTCGTCTCTGCAGGAGACAAACAGCTGCTTTCGTCCAGCAAACATCTAACAGACGCCCACACAGTCACTGGACTCGTCCAGGAGGGGGGGGGCTGTTACTGTAAAAAGGTTAATTCCTTCCAGAAAACTCTGACAAAGCGGTGACTGTCAATAAAAGAGTGTTGGTACACTAAATGTTGGTGTACGTTGAAGTCTTTCAGCCGACGCCATCATGTGACTCACAGTCTTTTTCTTTCTCTTGTTTGATCTTTGAGGTGAAAACTGATCAGATTAAAACAATAAAACAGGAAGTTAGAAAAAGAAGAAATGCACAAAAACATTTTGTTTGTTGAAGAAGGTCACCAGTTGTTGTGAAGAAAACAACATAAGTGATAAAACTCGGTTCAACCCCCTGATCCCAGAGCCGCTCATACACGCAGATTTGAGAACGACTGAAGACTTCTCGTGCCATCCATCAATACTTTGGTACTTCCTGTTTGTTGAAACTGAAGAGTGCTCAGATCAGACGTAATATAAATATCTATAAGTGTACGAAGGACAAAATCTGTCCAGTAGGTGTCAGCGTCGTGCTTTAGAGCCGCGTTACTCTACAGGGTAGGATTTAAAAAAAAAAATTATTTATCAAACGTCGGACAACATTTAACATGTGACACTTTTAAAGATATGAAGTTTTCTGGACATTTCACCTGTGGAACAAATATAATTCACACAATTATTGGATTTTATTTTGTCATAAACGACAGAGATTCACTGAACAATAAAAAAACAAAAGAAAACACATGATAAGATAAGATGTTCCTTTATTGATTCCTCGTAGGGGGAAACAGCACAGAGGAGTGTAGTGCAAAGAGCAGAGAAAGAATAAGAATAACAATAAGAATATAGAATATAAATATATACAGTACATACAATAAAGTGTAATATGGTTGTTCTTATTAGGTTTTTAGTTAACAGTCATATAAAAGATAAAATATTAGTGTCACATGTGCAGCAGGATGTTTCCTTATAAGGAGTTTTGGTTGACGATGTGTTTACTGACCGTCGGTGGTCCTCAGACTCCAGACTGACTGCAGCTCCTCCGCACTGATTACTGCTCCGACTGCACAAACCTGTAATTTCAGCGCAGCTCACCCCCTCATTTTTTTCCCATGATTCCCTGGGGCTAATTTTGGTTTTGATCCGGAACAGAATTTAGTCTCACAGTCTCTTTTTTTCTTTCCTCGACAGATCGTTTTTAATTAAGTTTAAATATAGACGGCGAGGGAGTATTTTTAGTTTTTGTCCTGAGTCATGACTTCACTGACTGTGTGTGTGTGTGTGTGTGTGTGTGTGTGTGTGTGTGTGTGTGTGTGTTTACATTCATATGAGTCAAAGAAAAGCAGCAAATCATTTGACTTGATAAGCTGGAGCCATCAAATGTTGGTGTTTTTGCTTTAAAATAACTGAAATGTATGAGATGCCATTAGAGACATTATTCAAAATTACCATTAATATACTTTTATTATGTAAAATAAATAAATAAATATTATATTGAAGACCTTTAGTTCATAAAAATGTTTAAACTTAATTCATTTCTCCTTTTTTTATTTCATTGGTGTTTATAGAGGTTTTAAGGTTTTTCACATCAGTTTTATCCACTAAAAAGTTATGTATGTAAAATGTTGTTAATAACTATTAAATAGGCTATAAAATATCAAATTGATATAAAAACCATGAATTTCATTGCATTTAGTATGGCATCATTATAGACACACTTTCTCTCAGCACTTAATCTCTGACCGACTTTCTGCCTCTAACAGCACCTCATAATCACCTCACATATGAAGTCATTTTATCATTGTAGCGTTGCATAAATTATTACTTATCATAACTTTCCAAATTCCCCCCAAAAAGAGTCATTCTGGCCTTTTCACATGATGTAAAAAAATTATATATTAATCACAATATTAAGAGAAATATATATTTTTCACAATAAAATTCTGACTTTATTTTATAACAGAAACAAACTGTTGATCCACACACTTCTGGATCAAGTATTTAGTCACATTGTCTGCTGCCACCTGTCGACCTTTAACCCCTGAGGAGGAGAACAAAGGGAGGATGTGAAAAGGGAGGAGGAAGAGGAGAGGATGGTTGTCTTTATTCAGACAGCTGCTTCATAGCAAACTGCTGAAGAGGAGGAGGAGGAGGAGGATTAAAAGCTCTGAGAGTCTTTTATTCTCCCAGAATTCCTTTGTCCCTCAGTATTAATCCTTCTGTGGAGGCAGAAAATGACTCCCCCACCTCCTCTCCTCTCCACATGACCACCTCCTTTCTTCCCCTGCTCCTCTTTTAACCTCCTTCCTCCCTCCCTCGTCTTCCTCTCCTCGTACATCTCCTCTGTGTCCTGCTGCTGTTTCATCTCTAATTGCTTTCCATTTTCATCTTCACACTCATCATCTTTCCTCCTCCTCCGCCTCTCTTTAATCCTAACCCTCTCTTCCTCTCCTCCTCCTCTCTTTAACCGTAACCTTCCTCTTCATCCTCCTCATAAACCAGTTTATTCCTGACAGGTACAAACAGTCTTTGCTGTGTTTGAGTGTTGGAGAGAAAGTTGGATTTCTGGTACTTGTTTTTGTATTTTTATGTTTTGATGCTTCAGTTATTGAACACTGTCTTAAAACCTGCAGCTCATCAAATTTATTGATTCTGTGTGTTTTACTTCATTGATAAATTTACTTTCTGAGTGATTTGAGCTGTTTTTTTCTGTCTCTTCTTGAAGAACTTCATGTTGAATTTAACTTTCAGTTGGACTTTAATGAACTCTGTGTGTGTGTGTGTGTGTTATTCCTCCAGAAACTCCACTGTGCGTCCAATCACAGGCAGACGACGCCCCCTGCAGGACATCATGCAGCTCTACAGGTGATGCATTCACTGACTCATAAACCTGCATGTTGATCTTCATTCTGCTTGTTGTGAACTGAAAGTGCTCGTCTTTAATAATATTAATTATATATATAAATAATTAAAATATTTGTTTTAGAATAAAATCCTATATGTTATTTTTTAAATTTAACAAATTCAAGATTTTATCTGATTCGAACTCCAGCGATATGTCAATTAATCAATAAAGAAAATTAATCAGCAACTGTTTTTATAACTGATTAGTCGTTTCAGTCATTTTTTAAGTCAAATAAAAGATGTTTTTCTGATAACTCAGATATAAAAACACATTTAGATGAATTTAAATTCAACCGTCAGCATCAGAATGATCAATGTGTCTCCTGTTGTTGTTGTTCAGGTCAGTGATGAGCCGCAGCCTTCAGTCCTCGACGTTTTCACGCTCAACATCTGTCGGACCGACGCTGCAAAAGACTTTGGTGAGAAAATAAAAAAAGTTTTTATTTTAGGGAATTCATTTTATATTTTAAAATAAATTGGGATTTATCAGGAAACTTTTCAATTTTCTGGACACAATTTAATTTGAGGACAGCAGCAACACATTGTGACAGTATGAAGACACGTTTGCACAGATTACAGCATTATAGAGCAGAATATTTTCTTTAGAAAGAAGTAACATGTGGGGACTCAAACACATTTGAGATCCCAACTAATGAGTAATGTTTTTTTTACAGATGTGAAGTTTCCTTGTTGGGTTTTAAGATGTTTAAAAATGTTGGAATATTTTCATAAAAAAAGACAAACTGATGTAAACTCTTCAGACAATAACTGTGAAATTAATAAATGTATGTTTTAAAGTGTCTTTTTCTGTGAATAATAAATACATATAAAACCTGTTTTATTTTCCACCCTGCAGGTTTCGCGGTGACGGGTCACGTGGATGGAGCGGGGAGAAGCCACGTCTACGTCAGCGAAGTCGACCCGCTGGGACTGTCGGCCAGAGAAGGTTCGACCTCTGATTCCTGCTCATGTTTCCTTCATGTTCAATATCAGTGCCGCTCATCCTCCAGCAGAGGGCGCTCAGTCCTCTCTCTCTGTCTCTGTCTGAGTGTATGAGGGAGGCTTCCTGTTTGATTTATTCTACTGTCTCATCTGGATCTTGTTCCTGTTTCCCATCAGGCCTCAGGGCAGGAGACGAGGTCCTGGCTGTGAACGGGGCCGCCGTTTCCGGACTGGATCTGGACCTGATGCAGAGTCTCTTCAGCCACCAGAAGCTCCAGCTGCTGCTCAGGAGAGACGAGTCTCCCGAGCCCGAGGAGCCCGCCGCCACCACCACCCTCTGGCCCAGCCCCTGCCAGCCCCCGGCCCCTCTGGACCTCCAGACCTGGACCACAAGCACAAATTCAGGTTTATACAAGCAAAAATATTGTATTTTATTGACTGAATCTCCAGTATTTTATTGAATTTCAAAACAAGAGTAGAAAAATGTACCAGAAAGGACTTAACGTAGAAATATAACAGTTTGTTTGTGTGTGTTGTCTTATCTTACTGAACCATTTCCATCTTATTCTTTGGCATTTTGCTGTTATTTGACAGGAAATGCAGGAAGATTTATGATGTGCAACAAAGGTCCTGTTATATTATTATAATATTGTTGTTATTATATTGTTATTATGTGTTGTAACAAAACTCCTGAAGAAACCAGTATTTAATGTAGGAGCGTCGGGCCTGAAGCCAACTGCGTCTCCCAGAGGAACTTTTACTCAAATTAAAAGCTTTTATTCTGAAGGCAGGTAGATGCTCACTCAGATACAGTTAAACTGCAGCACAGAGGATCCATCCCCAGGGAATTCTGGGAAAACTGTCTGCAGGAGTGTAAAGAGATGGTTTAATCTCAGGTTACAGTGATTCACTAAAAAATGTTTTACACACTAATGCAAACTGTTTAATCTACTGTAACCCTGTAAGAGGAGGCTCAGAGGTCAAAGGTCAGGAAGGAAGTTAGCATCGCCCGGGTTCCTACGACAAAAAGCCAGAGGGAGTTTTCCATTTGATTTTGGATTATTGCAGAAAATAAGTTCTGTGGAAAACAAAAGTTTATGATAGTCTCCATTTTTATGGTTTAAAGGTTAAATGCCAGAAATAAAACGCTGAAGCTTCACATTCACATTCACTGACGTATTTTATGTTGTAGAACAAAACACTGAAACTCTGTTCCAGGTTTTATGACTTATTCCTGCATCACTTTATTCTTTTTTTCTTTCTTAACATCTTTATATTTTTATCATTTCAAGATGAAAATGAACATATTCAGAACCTGGTTTTCATTTCACAGATTCTTCGTCTCCAGACGGCGTCCTGCTTCCTGTTTTTGACGCCGTTTCGTTGAAACCGTCTGAAGACGTCGAGCTGCAGAAACAGGTGAGAGTCAGTCACTCTGTATCACTGAGCCTCCTCAAACCCACCTGCAGAAATCCTTTCCCACAATCCTCTTGGGCCGCCTGTAGCTCAGACACCTTCTGTGTCATGTGACCTCTGATCAGGCTGTTAATCCGGGTTTACAGCCTCAGGAGTGTTTGTTTGTAAAGTCTGACCCGTTGGGATTAATGGCGTCCAGTAGAACCAGAGACAACTCGTAGATGTTGCTGTTTACCAGCTCATCCTCCGGTGGTGGTGCTGGTGGTGGTAACAGCTCCCGAAGGCGACCTCTGACCCCGTCCGAGGCTTCTTCCACATCCTGCTCTCTGACCATGGGCGCTCTGTGCTGGGTGCTGCCGCTGGAGGAGGACGAGGAGATACTGGAGGAGGAACTGGAGGAGGTGGAGGAGGAGGAGGAGGAAGAGGAGGAGGGAGGGGAGGTGTTTCCCAGTGTAGGCCTGGTGGAGTGGCTGGTGGGGCTGCTGGACGAGGTGACGTGCTGCTGCCTGAGCTGCCAGCGGCCCAACGAGAGCATCGTCCTGCTGGTACACAGACTGCGGGTTGTTGTTGTTGTTGTTGTTGTTGTTTCTCTGTTGTCATGGTGACTGACTCATGTTAGCTGCGATCAGTTAAAATTGTGTGTGAGTTCTTTTAAAGGGTATTTTTCCAGCTTATTGATGATAGTAATCAATAGTAATACTAATGGAGGAAAGACTGAAACCAGCAGAGTGGTTTAGTCCCGCCCCTTTTTTGCGCTGTCCATAAAGAGGGCGGGACTTTCTCACTAAGTGAGAACCTTGTTCATCTTCTTCCTTTCCTGTGCTTAGATATGCTATGTGCTAAGCTATATTGAAAAGACAACTACATATTGAAGATGGTTGGAAGATAAAAGTAACATCTATAAATAGGCTATATATATAGTTGTCTTTTCACCATAGACGAACAATTGTGACTGATTCGTGTAAAACAGATGTTTTATTATTCGTTATGAGGAAACATTCTGTTGTTCCTCTGGAGTATCAGTGATGTTTCGTTGAATAGTTTCCGCTGTGCTTTTAAACAGCAGTTGTGGTTGGACTCACCTTCATTACAGCATTAAATCTAAACTGCCTGAGAGGGAACGTGGAGTCTCAGAGAGCCGTGAGATGAGTTCAAAGTGCTGTAAATGTGAAGCGTCCTGGTCTGTTATTAAAAGCTGTGGCTGCAGGCGAACACACACTGAATTTATCAGACTGTGGGCAGCACTTTATTAGAGTCTGGCAGCACAGATTATGATGATGAACGAGGCGGCTGGTTGGTTAAAACCTCGTCCTCCTTCAGGGTCAAACTGAACCAGTTTCCTGATGTTCTTCTGTTCGATGAGGCAGCAACACAACATGAAAACCATCTAAATGCCCCAAACGTTACTGGACCGTGGTTTTATTTTGCCCCCCCTCCACCCTTTCAGAATGTGGACCGGGTCTACTCCCTGTACCAGACCTTCCCAGAAAGCCGAGCGGCGGAGGCTGATGTTCCCAGGAACCCGTACAGCAGAGAGGTCGGCCTGCAGCCCACTAGCCCCGCCCACCTGAGTGTGTGTCAGCGCCTGCGTAAAGTCATCCAGGAGCTGGTCGACACCGAGAAGTCCTACGTCAAGGTCAGTAACACTGCAACTCATAGTAATGCTAATATGGCTAATAATGCTCTTATTTCCACTGATAATACTACTACTGCAGTATTAATGTTACTCATAGTGCTGCTAATGCTGTGTACTTTGCAGCCAACAGATTTTCATTTTGAAATTAGAAAACCAGAATCAGGAAAAAAAAGGTTTTTGTTTAAAGGTTTTATTTTCAAAACAAAAATAAGGGAAACATCAAAACAAGAAAGCTTAAGGGTTCGTTTTCCCTTTTTTGTTCCACTATTTATAAATGGTTACCAGAAAATCCAAAAGTACACTGACCCGATACGAAGTATTGATGTATTTGATAAGACAACAGAACAAAGTAACCATAGAAAATACAACGGAAACCAAAATGATTAGCATAAAGAAATTTGAAAAATTGTAATCCTGCTAATAATATCCTTATCTTTACTAAATAACTACAATCCCATTACACCTTTTTTCTGTTATTCTATTGTACTAGAAATACCAAACATCTTGGTAAAGATGGTAGATTCAGTTAATCTAATTTTATTCCTTTTTAATGTGTTAATAAATAAATGTCTTTGTCTTCTATAAAACTCTTTTCAGGATCTGGTTTGTCTGTTTGACATCTACCTGACTCCTCTGCAGAAGGAGACCTTCCTCAGTAAAGAAGAGGTAAATACATTAAAAATAAAAAGCTTTAACGAGACGTCAGTTTGTTGTCGTCTGACCCTAGCGTCTCTCCCTCAGATGGAGGCGTTGTTCGGCAGTCTGCCCGAGATGTTGGACTTCCAGAGAGTTTTTCTTCAAACGCTGGAGGAGAAAATCGCCTCCTGTCCCAACTTCAGCACCCTGGAAACACCCGGACAGTTCAAGGTTCACATGCAGCAGTGTCTTCAGACGTTTTCATCTCAGTGGATTTATTCTGATTATTAAACATTTTTCTCTCTTTGCTCTCAGAAACTCCTCTTCTCGCTGGGAGGATCTTTCCTTTACTACGCCGACCACTTCAAGCACTACAGCGGCTTCTGTGCAAACCACATCAAAGTGCAGAAAGTCCTGGAGAGAGGTGAGGTTCGGTCTGCCGCACGAAAACAAAACCTCTGTTTACATTTATTTATTTACATTAACTCGAAATAATACGAATCAGTCTCCTGTTTCTATGTCGCAGCAAACTTTATGGATATAATAATGTAGAAATTAAACAATCTTGTTTTTTTAAAAACAGATTAAAATGTATAAAATATAAATAAATATTAATAAGAAAGGAAAAGTTATAAAAAAAATACAATTAAAATAAAGGGTAAAATAAAATAAAGTTAAAACAACTACAAAAATAAATATACAAAACAAAATATAATATAATAAAATAAAATTATTGATCTAGAAATTAATAATTAAACGGTGATGTCAATTTTACAGCAAAGACAGACGGCGCCTTCAAGCACTTCCTGGAGGCGAGGAATCCGACCAATCAGCACTCGTCCTCTCTGGAGTCGTACCTGATCAAACCCGTTCAGAGAGTCCTGAAGTATCCGCTGCTGCTCAGAGAGCTGGTGTCTCTGACCGACCCCGAGAGTCCCGAACACGCACACCTGACAGGTACGACACGTCTGCGGAGGTCACCAGCAGCACTACACGCTGTTTGCCTGGTTACTTAAACTCCCTTATACTTGAACTGTAATTCCCCCGTTGTCCACACAGAGGCGCTGAGAGCGATGGAGAAGGTGGCGAGTCACATCAATGAAATGCAGAAGATCTACGAGGATTACGGCTCCGTGTTCGACCAGCTGGCTGCAGAGCAGAGCGGACCTCACAAACAGGTACGGACACATCGTACACATTGACATCAGCTGGACGCCAAGAATACGTACACTTCAATGTCCTCCTTTTGTTGGACTGGTGACGGTTGAGGGAAGGAGATTACTTCATCTATTTGACTCTTTTACCCAACTGTGACTAATCAATAATGCACCAAAAGTTCACTGGATGGCGACTTCTCCCTGATTGGACCCAACACGACCCGCCGAGTTCGGGCCCAAAACAGCTGCCATAGATCAGGCACTAAATTATGCAACATGTAGTTTACTTTAACTTGTAATAAACTATTTAAATCATTCATTTATTTTAGGCAGAAATTCGGGTTGATCCCGAGGCCCGATCAAAGCTCTACACTGCCCCAAAACTGGCCTGTCTGCTGCAAAATGAAACACATTCTCAGCCCAAAACCCCAAAAAGCTCTGGTCGCAATTACACGGACCCAGTTTTCCTTCCTTTCATAAAACCAAAGCAGTGTTATGATTGAGGCTGCAGTTAACGACGATTTAAAACCCTCCCCTCAGGTGACAGAGATCTCGATGGGGGAGTTTCTGGTCCATTCGTCGGTGGTTTGGTTGAACCCGCTGCCCAGTCTGGGACGACTGAGGAAGGAACCGGAGCTCACGCTGTTCGGTGGGTACAGACGCACTCTGATCGCAGCCGGTAGCGGTAGAGAGCGAACGCTGGGATTAACTTTGTGTTTCATCCCTCAGTGTTCAAACGGGCTGTCATTCTGGTTTACAGGGAGAGCGCCAAGCTGAAGAAGAGGATGGTGAGTCTGTTTATTACACATTACTGATATTTTACACAAGGTCAAAAGGATATATATATATATATATATCTACACAGCCAGAATAACACCGAAATTAATTTTAGTTTTTTGTTTTAAAAATGAAAATAAAAAACAACCCGTGTTTTTTGTTCCCATATTCATAAATGTTTTAATTTCCCGATTTAGATATTTTTCTCATTTAAAATCTTTTGGTTGCAAACTACACTGACACACAACGAATAAAAGTATATTAATTAAATATTGATACATGTGATTGTTTCCCCCCTCTGGACACCCCATCAATATTTCACTTGATCCTTTTACTTTCATTTTAATGGATTAAATCATTGGAAGGATGTCGTTATGGAGTTATATGATGGAGGATACGAAGTAGACACAGTTTATATTGAAGGGACGGAAACGTCAGTGTGAGATCGTACTTTATAATTCTTTATAATATAATATAATGTTCTCTGTCGGACAGACCGGCTCCCGCTCAGCTGATCTGGACCCCTTCAGGTTCCGCTGGTTAATCCCAGTTTCAGCGGTTCAGGTCAGACCGGCCAACATCACAGGTGAGCGACCAATCAATCAATACTCTGACAGATTGACCTGACAGATATTATGTTCCTCTTCATCACTAATTATTATCCTATAATAAAATATGTATTATTTTTATAATTCTGCATAACGAGTACTTATAATTTTGGTACTTTCACATATTTTGAATGGTGGATTGTAACAGCGTATTTATGCACTATTACAATATTACTACTTGTACTTAAGTAACAGATCTTGTGTCTTCAGGCTCAGAGAACCCGTGTGTCTGGGAGCTGGTTCACAGCAGGTCGGAGGTGGAGGGACGACCGGAGACAGTCTTTCAGCTCTGCAGCAGGTAACAACCAATCAGATCACAGTTTATAGATGATCAATCAGAATCAATGACAGAACAATAAACTCATTTTATTGTAGTAAAATATTTATAATCTGTATTTTTATACCTCAGTCTCGTGGAAAACTTTCATTTGTATCTCGCTAGCGTAACGTTAGCTCTCTGGAACTTGGTTTCAGGTTAGAATTAGTTGATCAATCAAGATTCAGATTAGGTCATTTACAGAAAATAAATTTGCTACTGTTGATAATCAATTGTTGTCTCCTTGGACACTGACGGACATTTTTCACTATTTTCTGATGATTTGTAATCAACAGATTAATCAATAAGTCAATCTGTTTGCCTGAGCATCGTGCTGTTTGTGTTTCAGTGGTTTGGAGACGAAGGCCAGCGTGCTGCGAGCTCTTCGTTCCCTCCTCAGAGACCGAGCGCCCACCGGCTCCCTGAGGAGGACCAGGCTATCGACGGCAGAGAGGAGCGGCTCCTGGAGGAGGAGGCAGCAGCGTTGTCGCTCTGACGGCCAGAGGACGACCAACCGCCAGCCGGAGGAGAGCTGCAGACCCGACGCCGGCTTCCTCCTGGGAGAGACCTGCTCGGAGCCCCTGCTGCCCAGCCGCGCCGCCTCCGACTCCACAGGGAAGAGGACCCGACTTTGCTCCCTCACCAGCGAGTTGGAGGCTCAGCTGCAGAGGCTGAACTTCACTGAGGAGGAGGAGGCCGAGCGAGGAGCGGCGGCGTCTCACAGCGACGACCGGAGGAACGAGGAGACGAGACGGAGCTTCAGTCTGCGTCGAAGTCCTGGAGGAGAAGTGCTGGACATGGAGAGAGACTTCAGTGTTCAGAGCTTGACCTCCATGATTAACGAGGACTGTTTCTATGACTCCATGCTGGGGATGCAGAAGGCGGCTGTTCCCACGCTACAGGGCTAAAGCTAACACGCTAACTGCTGGAAACCACAGGGAGTAAAACTTTTATCAGACCTATTTCTTCCATCGCGTCTGATATCAACCCGTCGTACTGAAGGAGTCACACGTGGAACGACCTCTGGCAGCCGTCTGATTGGCTGAGAGTTCTTTAAAAACGTTTTCCCGAAGAGGAAGTTTACGTCATAAATTTAGAGACGTGAAGTGAATAAACTCAAATAGAACAAAGTTTTAGAGTCACTGTGAGAGGGAAAACTTTTCACAATAAAATTTAAATAACTTAAGAAAAAAGTCCAAAACAGAATTTTGTGGAAAAAAGTTTTATTATTTCAAGAAAAAGAGTAGAAATATTATTATAGAAAATGTGATATTATGAGATTGAATATTGAATCAAAGTAATAGGAAACTATGTTTAGTATTCTCTTAACAATTCAGACTTTATTCTCATGAAATTATTCATTTATTCTTGAAATATTAGGTTTATTTTATTTTTCTCATGATATTAAATTCTTTTTTTCATCTCAAACTTTGTATTATTTCCTCACAGTGGCTCCAAACTTATATTTTGGGTGAGTTTGTCCATCCACCAACAGGGTCAATAAACAAACCACAAACCTCCAAAACACTTTCAAGAACTATGGAATCATTTTTTAACTTTAAGAATACCGAAGAGGATGTAAAGAGACTTCGTGATGAAGAACGATGAAGGAATCTGGAAGAAGATGATGGTTTTACGCAGTGGATTTAAGATCTTTTACGAGGAACAAAGTGAAGAGTGAATAAAACTTATCTGGAGCTCAGTTCTCTGTTGGGATTCTCCGTGTTCTCGTTTTTCTTTTTGAGAAATAAACGAATATTTCTCCGGTTTTGATAATTTCGTTGCACTCAGCTGCCTGAACTCGTCACAGTCGTCTGTTGAAACGTTGTAAATATTTCTCTTGTACAGTCGGTTTTGTAGTTTTCTGTTTAACAGATATTTTCTTGACAAAAGCGGTTTGGATGAAACGTCCGGAGCTGCTGGATCGGATCGAAGCCTTCGTGTAACTGCGGGTTCAACTGATGTATTTATATTTGTTCTTGTGTATTTCAAGTTCTGTGACTGCGTTTCATTTCAATGAACCCTTCAAGTTATTTTTATTCTGTTAAAGTATTTGGTAATTTATTTTCTTAAATATTTGTGTACAACTTTTTAATGAGTCCAATAAATGACAAAGTATTTAATTTAAGAATGCTTATTGTTTATTTATTGTTTATTGTTGTTGTCCTCCTTTAAATGCTGCATTCAGACTAAAATATCAACAAATAGGAGATTATAACATTCTGTTGTAAACCTCAAAGTCCCACATTTATTTATTTCAACACAAAATTAACTTTTGAGAACATTTGAAAACAGAAATCAACCGTTTAGATTGTGAATATCGGCAGTTTTATGAAATGTTGATGGCAAATCCAGATCCAGAAGAACCAGTTGGCGAGCCAGGAGCCTCCTTAATTGTTTAATCTTATAATTAAACATGAACCATAAACTGTCGTTGATTTGCCTAAAAATAATCCTGGAGAATATTCCACTGAGAGGACACGTTGCTATACATCAGTGATAAAGCTGTGTCGGAGCTTGCTGAGATACGGAGAAGACTTATGTTTGAATTGACTCCAGTGTGAATGCAGTGTGTTAGTGTGAGGTATCGAACAGGTTCAGTTGAATGTGGAGCTGAAGTCGTGAGTTTTGGTTACAAACACATTTTATGCAGATGATGTGTTTTTAGTGTTTGTGTCCTCGCTGTCAGACAAAGAACCTGCAGAGAACAATGAGCAGGTTTCTGTTCTCACTGAGGAACATTAGGATATATTGTATTATTGTATGTATGTGTTGTTATGATAAATAATGTTTGTACTGTAAAGTAATTTTCCCAGGATGCTCCAGATTTTCTGTTTTTTGAAGAAATGAAGGTAAAAACTGTGTGTGTGTGTGTGTGTGTGTGTGTGAGATGTGAGTCACTTCAGCTCTTGTTGCCACAGTAACCGCTGTACGGAGGAGAAAGAAAACACTTTAAAACACTTTCACACACATTTAATAGCTCGATTAGAGCGGCAGTGTCTCTTCCTCCTCTTTGTTTACTGATGGAAAAAACAGGAAACACATTAATAAACGCAATTTCATGGAGATAACCCCAAAACCTTAAAAGTGGTTACGAAACAGTCTCAGTATGACCGACATAAACAACCCATCAGAGAGAACAATGGATAAAATTAACACAAAATGAAAGTGAAATAAAAAAAAGGTCATTTTAACCCTTTAATATCACATCCTCGTTTATATTGGTGCCCTAATTTAACAATGTATGACAGAAAATGTACAAGATTAAATGTCTTTGTATAGATCTGTGGATAACTGGGCTCCCGGTAGAAACCTCCTGAACCATGAACACTGAAGGAATCCTAACCGGGAGAAGCTGCAGTGGTGGTGAAGACAACAACTCCCATGATCCCACACTGCTTTTAGTATTGTTTTAATGTGAGAGACCCCCCAGTGGCATCTACTCCTTCTACCCCCCATAGTGACTTTTACTGGCAGGAATTGGCTTCAATACCAAACAGTAACAATACAAACAGTATTCACCAATTATTATTATTATTATTATTATTATTATTAGCTTCTCCCACGCTGTTGGACAGACAAAGGACGTCCCGGAGGGGCTGCGAGCCGAGCTGCTGCTAACGTTAGCTCAGCTTGTTTCTCTGATAACTTAAGATCCAGACGTCCGATGACTAAAATCCTTCATCCGGTTCAAATCTAGAGTTAAAAAGCACCAAGATCTAAACAGTGGATGGTAACAATGTGGCTTCAGACTGGATCAACAGTCAATGTATGACAGCTTCTGGCAGACAACCACAACGCTGACGCAGGCACAAAGGGGATATGGCGCCATCGACAGGCGACCGGTGAAACGCAGCGTTACCTGAATAAAATGACAGATTTCTCTGAGTTTGAACTTTGTTGGAAACATTTGGGATAATGGAAGAACTCAACTACACTTAGAACATAGAGCCAGAGGTTATACACTGTTTAATGAGGAAATGTTACAGATTGATTTATGAAACTGTCATCAGGAGGACTCATGTTGCTGTCAGAGGTTCAGATTCGACCCCCGGGCCGCTGTTTGCCCCCCCCCCACTGCCTCATACAGTCAGTTTGTTGTGTTTGAACTACAGGAATGTGCTGAACACACACACACCTGACAGGGACACACCAACCTGTGTGTGTCCTCACAGTCTCTGATGAACACGCCGTCACGTCTCTGTCAGCTGGTGAGCTTTTAGTTGTTTTATTTCTGTTATTAAAGTTCATACATCCATATTTATGTATGTCAGTTAGGGAGGGACTAGCCACGCTGCTAGCTAATCTTCACTCTGTGTCGCTGAAAGGCTGTAAACTTGTTTATTTCTGCTGTAAAGTTGGGCATTTTAATATGGGGCCTTATTGAGAGTGACTCACTGTTGGAGCCAGCCTCTAGTGGCCGATAGAGGAACTGCATGTTTTGTTTTTGACACTTGGTTGATTCCTTTTTGAGCTCCAGCCCCGAATTAGGTAAAATTAGTTTTTTGTGTCATTTCCCCTCAACCTCCCGGACTGGTTTGGCCAATTGATGGAGATTATAAAATTAAATTTCTGGGGAAATTACACCATCTATGGGTCCGCCATAACATTGTCGTACAGTGTTGTTGTCTTGTTGTGTGTCGAGGTTCAGTCGACTATTAGGGGGCAACTCTACTTAAAACAATATATAAAATGTTTTTATTTTTTATTTTATTATCTCAACTGGCTTTAAAAATAAAGCACAGATCTGTAAATGAGATAATAATCTCCTCAGTGGATTATTATTGTTATTGTTATCATTATTATATCTGAGTATAAAGCTGTAAAATGAACACTGAAGATGGAAATCTGAATACAACCGAGCTCTGTGTGTGTGTGTGTGTGTGTGTGTGTGTGTGTGTGTCTGTCTGTGTGTGTTCAGCCGAGATAAAGCAGTTCATTTATATTCATGTCTTTCTGCTGATTGATGGTTGATGGAGCCTCGGGGGGTGTGTGTGTGTGTGTGTGTGTGTGTGTGTGTGTCGGGGGGGTTGGTTTGATTCAGCTCCAAACTATTATCACTGTGACTGCGAGGGGTCGGAGGTCAAACTGTGTGCTTTAATGTGAAGCTAATTTCAGCCACAATGGATGAAAGGCTGGAGAATCTGAACCCTTGTAGAGAAATAACTTCTTGCTCTTCTGTAACATTTAATTTAATTTGCCTGGAAATCCTTTCACATTAAAACGTCTGCGCTGTCGCCGCCTCCTCCTCTCTGTGTCGTCTTACGTCCAAATTAATACAAACACAAAGTGAAACATCCACATTCAGTCAACCTTCAAACAGATTATTATTTATATTATTAAAAACAGACAGGTTGTTTAAAACAGATAAATCAGATTAGATAGTTTTTCAAGATAAAAACAGCTGAAACTCATCATGTTGCACATTTATTTAATTGAATTTGATTTTAACATGTTTGCATCAATATAATGAAGAATGAGATATTTCAGCTATTTACAAAAACTGCCCCAAAAAACTAAAATATTTTAAAATTAAACAAAACATTATAAAACAGGAGAAATAACATAAGATTAAGAATTAAACAGAAACACTTGCCAAAAAATAAAATCTGCACCAAAACAAATCAAATTAAAAACGGAATAAAGAGTAAAAAGCAAAGAAACGTTGCAATAAAACATAAAACTCAACAGAATAGATCTCGGAGGAGATAAGAGGATAAAATGAAAACAAAAAACATTAAATGATAAAAACACCATCACAAAAGATTAAATAATAAATAAATAAGTAAGCAAAAATTAAAGCTAAACAATAAAACAACTATACAACACTGAAAAAACAAAATAAAACCTTTAACCTAAAAATAAAATAACAAAACCTGGAAGGTGAAACCTGACAAAATATTTAAAATAGAAAAAAAAACACACAACATTTTAAAAAACAAACAAAAAATGACAAAAAATGATTTTAAAAATCAACAAAAATGAAACAAAATATTTAAAACAGAAATAATAAAATATCAAAAACAGTAAAAAAATTACACAAACACCATTACAGAAGGTAAAAAAGAAATAAACAAACTGAAAAACAAACAACTGAAACGACATCACAACAATACATAATAATACAAAACAATAATATAAACAAAACGACAAACAAACAACAAAAAATTAAAGCTGAAAAATATGTTAATTAAAAAAAACATTTAAAACAAAAGATTTGAAAATGCACCAAAACAAATGTTTGTTTCCCACCAAATGTCATTACATTAAAAACAAACCTGCTTTGGTGAAATAAATAATTAAAAACATAATAATAATAATTTAAACACATTTGCTTTATATAACCCTTTAATATATAATATATATATATACAGATAATATATATATATAGTAATATCAGCATAACAACATAAACAACTGTAAACAAATAAAGAAACAATAAATCATAAAATCAAACACAGTAAACGTCTGATGTCAGGTTGTCCTCTGCAGCCGTCGCAGACTACGGAGGCCCGCAGGCATCGAGTCAAACCTCCAGAGTACAACACTGACAGACCTCCAACAGGAGCAGCTGGATGTTAATACAAAGTGTTCAGGATGTAGGACAAACACTGCGACCACGGCCGAGTTAAAGGAACATACCACCTCACAGTTACCTCACACACACACACACACACACACACACACACACTGCTGGTTTTATACCTCACACACACACTGCTGGTTTTATACCTCACACACTCTCTCCTGAACGCTCATTAATCCCTTCGTTGGATTTTATAATCGATTCTTCTTTTAAATCAATTATCAGGTGAAAAACCTGCATTTTATCTTTGCTTTTTTATTTTTGCATTTAAAACACGTCACCGTTTTCTCTATTTTCTGACAATTTATAGACAATTAATTGATCAAAATGTACCTGACAGATAAGGAAATTAATAATATTTAATTAATAACTGCTGTTCATTTTTCTCCATCAGTTTTTAGATTGTTTTCACTTCATTCATCTGTCACAGAGCAGATTCACTCCACTGTATTATAATTCTTTCAAATTAAAAAGTCATACAGTGTGTGAGTGTTTTTAATGGTCTTATTCAGCTGTTTGTTTGTTTCTTTATCTCAGTTACAGAAGTCACAAGATTATTAAATGGATTTAGTTTTTAAGACTTTCGATTAAATTCTGCAGTTTTCTTATAAAATACCTTTAATTTTCGCCTCTTCAGGGCCTTTTAAAAAAAACGTACATGAAACAATCTGTGTGTAAAATCATTTTAATTGCTCACTTCAGCCACAGCCTTTAATGTGGCGTCTAAAGCCCCAAAACATTGGAAATCCCTGTTTCATCTGCCCACAATACAGAACCTCCATTAGAAATCTGCCCGTTTTAAAGCTCCAGTAACTCCTGCTTCGGCGTACACGATGACCTCACCTCTCCGTGTCTCTGGTGGGAAACGGACTCATGTTTATTGTGTTTGATGTTGTTACGAGTTATTCTATCAACATAACAACATTCATTAAGCAGTGTTGCTGTTTGAAATGACGCTCATAGGCACTTTAATGTGGTGTTTTCCCACAGGGAGGCTGGTTGGTGAAACAGGGCAGAAAATGTGTGTTTATTGTTGGCAGTTTGGTGGAAGCTGATCATGTCTGTGCAGGTCTGAGGCTGATAAGAGCCAGACTGGAGGATTATGGTAATAACAGGCTGCCACTGACTGACTGCAGGGTCCCATCACAGCCAAATGGTTGGGCGGGCTGCGGACGCTTATCACCGCGTTGCAGTGGGCGATCCTTCACGCAGTCACATGACACAGGCGACACCTTGATTCACACTGCAGCTGCACGAAGAACAGCTCAGTGGTTTTTATCACCAAAACCAGGACGCAACATGACGAGCTGATGGTGCACGTCGATCGTTTTTAAAAGCACAAAAGATCCTGTCAGTCGGCTGAAACGTGACTTTTTCGTAAAGCAGCGGGCAGATATTATCAGCAATAATCAGTAATGAGCTCAGGATCATTTTTAAGAGGTGGTTTCGCATTTTTCTAAATGCTCGTAAAACTCTTTCTGTGAGTGTTATCTGGCAAAGCAGAAAGAAAACAATCATTTTCAAAGAGAACCATTTCTGCGGCGTACCCCGCCATCAACTCATCAGATAAGAACGCTGCTCTGCGGCTCCTTCAGCAGAACCGGTGACCTTCAGGTTAGGAACAAAAAAACCTGTTTCCTGAACCAGAGTTCGATCAGTTTTGTTCATATGAAGATATTCAGAAAAAAAAATAAAGAAAGAAATAAAGAAAGGACGCCTGGTGCCTCTTTTCCAGGACGCAGAATGGGATGAAACTGTATGTACAGTTGCCAAGGAGACAGGAGGCAGGCAGAAGGGGTAGTTAAGAGGCTGATAACCCACACACACCCTGTGTTTTCATTCACACCGCTTCGTCCGCAGGAACCAGTTCAGGAGACGCCGCTAAAGACACAAAACACAGGTAAGATCCCGAGATTCAACTTCACTTAATTCCTCCTGTTGTTGCAGAACTGAGATTAAGAAATAAATAACTTCACTCCAGCAGCTTTTTCCTCCAGCTGGCTCAGAGGGAGTAAAACCCCAAGAGACGCTGCAGCTTTAAAAGGACATAATTGAGTGTCAATGACCACATCAGCTGCAATCAGCGAGCTCACACATGCTTAAACAGAAATGTAAAAAAAAAATAAAACCATCAGCAGCCTCAGCTGTGCGTCCGTCACGCTCCCACGCTCACTTCTCATTTCTTCTCTGGTTGCAGCCCGCTGGAGCCTACGCTGAGGAATTATCTGCTGTCAGGACCTTCCCGGGACGCCGCTGTCGTCGCTGCGCCAACAGGGACCGGAGCTGGACTGGACGGAAGGGGGGGAGCTGAGCCATGCTGTCCGCCGCCATTCAGATCCTGGCGTTCGCCCTGGCGCTCCTTGGCGTCCTCGGCACCACCGTGGCCACCCTGCTTCCCAACTGGAAGGTGAGCATCAACGCCTGGTCCAGCATCATGACCCCCATCTCACAGATGCAGGGGCTGTGGATGGACTGCGTCTGGTACAGCTCCGGCGTCTTCAGCTGCACCATGAAGAACTCGGTGCTGTCACTGCCGGCGTATCTGCAGACCACGCGTGCTGCCATGGTTCTATCGTGCATGGTGGCGTCGTTCGGGCTCTGTCTCGCCTCCCTGGGGCTCAAATGTACCCGCTGGGGGGGCAGCCACCGAGCGAAGGGGCACACGGCCATCGCTGCAGGGGGTTGCTTCGTCCTGGCCAGCTTCCTCTGCCTGGTCCCAGCGTCCTGGTTCACCAACGAAGTCATCACCGCCTTCCTGACCACGGACCTGCCGGAGAGCAGTAAATATCAGCCCGGAGGAGCTCTGTGCGTGACGTTCATCTCCGCTGGCTTCCTCCTGGCTGGAGGGGTAATTTTTTGTTTGTCGTGTCCCGGAAAGAGAACAGGACGACCGGACTACGCTTCCTCCGCCGACCCTGACAGATTTCTCATGTACCAGAGGCAGGAGCTGCAGCCGGAGCCGAAAAACAGGCAACACAAGAAGGTTCAGCTGCAGATGGACGAAGTGAAGCCTCCTCAGGACAAACCAGAACAGAATCAAGAGCACAAGCTCTACTCGTCTCCCTCCAAACTCCCCCAAAAAGACATCAAGGACAGTTACAGCCTCCAGGAGTACGTCTAGTCCCCACAGCTGAGAGGTGAAATGTGGAGTTTTCAGCTGGGGCTTTCTGGCTCATAGAAAAGAGGGGGGAGGTGGGCTGGGGGAGGTCTGTTTGAGAGGGAATAATTACTAAATGCTGGAAATGACAGATTGTGGTTTCAGCCGAACGGGAGGTCTGCGAAGGACAAAAGGTGCTTTTAAAAAAACTGCACCAAACACTGTAAATCCTTTAAAAACTACCTGCAAAACTGCCGCAGCTTTCTCATACCAAAGGAAAAAAAATGAATGAATAAATAAAAAAGAGCTGAACCTGCTGATCATAAAAAAAAAAAATTGAGCTCTGCTTGATATTGAAAGCCATCATTTTGCAGCTGTAGATGCTGTCTGCCTTCAGAGATTAACTAGTGTTCCAGCAGGGCCGGCAAAAAGCTCTCTGGGGCCGTGAGCAGGATTCAACCACCACACAGACACACAAATTACATTTACATTTAAGATACACTTTCTGATTTTGTTACAGCACTTTGGTGTCCACAAATTCCAAAAAATTGAGTTCAAACTTTGGACCACATATTTGCTAATAGCTGTTTTTAGCATTATTACCTACCCCCATTGGCAAATAGTTAGAACAGGAACTATTGTAGAAGTGTGGACCAGGAGGAGGAGCTTAATAATTTGGTACACGGTGTAAAAAGTTGGAGAAACACTGTCTAGTGTATTTGGACGTGCAGGAATGGATTAAGTAAGATGACCTCCATTGTGGTAATAACAATAAATATGTGGTTAATGTTCATAGTTTGCTTTAGTTAACGCACTTTGGAGTTAGGAAAAGATTGTGGTTTGGGTTCAAATGTTTGTGATATCAGTTAAGTTATATGTAAGTTGGTGATACTAAAGTTTATTTTCGGAATAACGGGCCTTCGGAGTAACGGACGTTTGTTTTCGGAATAATGAGCTGTCAGACAAGTGGGACATTTTCCCAGAACAATGGCCCGGCACCACTCTGGGATATACTGCAGGAACATTCTTACTTCATAAAAATGTTGTGTGAGATTTATGTTGTAGGGCTCCCACTCTTTTTAAGAAATCTTTAATAGAATACAGGAGAGAACAAACGGTTACATCATTTACTGACTTACAGTCAGGTTTACACATTTGCATTGTTCATGATAGGTGGTTACAGATAGGTGGTCAGCGTTTACAGGACACATCTCCTGTGATTTGACAGTTTACTACAGATTTCTTCAAACCAACGTTTACGTAGACAATCTGAGTGAGGAGCTAAAGTACAATAAAAATGTTCCTGGACAACATAGATTATTTTGCTCATTTTAATAAATTTTCAACTAGTTTTTAAATGTCCAGGTTTTCCAGGATGCGTGGGAACACTGAGTGCAGCAAAATGTTGGCAGTGTATCTTAAATTACAACAAAGCACCAACAACAGTTCACATGTTCAGCTCATCCAAGGACGCCTGGTGGTGAACGTCGCCTCCGTCTCGTCTGCTTTGGGCCGGCTCTGAAGTAAATTTGTTTTGGAGAGCCTTTTAGAGCCTCGGTGCATGCTGTCCGTGCTTTTAGCCGCTTACAGCTTGAATGTAGTGCAAAGCTGCTGTTTGTAGAAACTGTGCCTGCAGCCATAAAAAAACACTGCTGACCTTAGTAGATTTAGTGTTTTAAAGTCCAGATCCAAAGCTTGAAAGCGACGGCGTCCGTGCCGTCTTTTCCCAGCGGTTCGGAGGGAGGCGAGAGGTGCAGAGTAGCATGGAGAGGGGTAATGATGCTCTTTGCTTTCCCATTATCCTCTCGCCACGGTTGGATGCACACTGCACACATGCACCCCTCCACCACCCTCCTTCAGCTGTATGAAAAGGACATCCAGTCATTTGCAGGATGTAACTTAAAGCCCAATGGACAGTGGACAGTCTGCAGTATTGTGGACGTGGTGGTGGGGGGTGGGGGGGTCCTATAACCTGAGGAGAGCTGCCAATCAAACCTGTGAATGCTTCTTGGAATTGAGAAGGAAAGTAACAGCTGAGCTGAACTTCCACTGCTGCTAAAAAGAAATGACCTAAAAGAGAAAATAGAGTCGATTCGTCAGACCTGTCAGTGTATTCACGTAGAAAACCAGACACATTCAGGCACAAGCAGCTAGAAAACTCGAACAGCTAACAGATTTTTTTTAAAAATCAAAGCATGGCAAAATAACAACCAACAATCTTTTATGTGTTCTGTAATTTTGTTTTTGCTGCTTTTGGACTCAAACCTCACCCCTATATAGTTAAACACACATACACATGGTACATGGACAACAGGACAATTATGATGGTTTACATCATCGATGTATATAAAGATGGATGACATGACAGTTGTCCAAAAGTGAAGCCAAAACTTCTCTATCTCCCTCTGGTGGCTGACTGCAGTAAAGCTCATAACAGCCTCAATGTTAGCAGATCGGACTAAAATATCAAAATCAGGTTTATTTTTCCCAAAGTTTCTGTCAGTTTCAGTAGTTTAAATCAGTTATTTGAAGATATAAAAAGTGAATTTCACGTCATGATTGACAGCTTGGTCCTCCTCACCATTCAGTAGGCTGGATGTGAGGGCGGTACTTAGATACCGCAGTGACCACCCTGATTACGACAGCACAGACTCTGGCTCCGAATGACGCCACCAGAGGAAGATATCCGGCTTTATTTCTGTACATCCATCCCGATCATCTGCTTTGGGCCGTCATCAATCTTTTATATGTTGATGGTTTAAATGTAAACAACTTAATTTAATTTTAAAGGTTTTAATATGTGATAGTAATTCAAAAAATATTTTTGTTTATGTATTTAGGTTTTTATTTTATCAACCTGCTCTCTATGGAGCTCATAAAGAAACATGCACATGTCCCTTTAAAGGCTCCGTACACTCTCACCCCCAACTCATCAAATATGGCCGCTTGAACAGTGGTCTAACGCTTCAGAGTAGTTTTTACAGAACATTTTTAAAATAAAACACCACGTAAAGACTCTGGATCGAATTTTACCTGACCAGAAGTCGGTCAGTTAGAGGAAATTTGAAGTGGTTTTGTTTCCTTTTTAAGGATGAAGTGTGTTTTTCTGTTTGATTAATTATTACATATTCCATCTAAATCAACTTGTTACTGGTTAAGATAACCATGTGTAAGTTTAGATATTGGCCATCGGTCAACCACTAGCTGAAAATACAGTCTTTTCTGAAACATAACCAAGTAGTTTCTGTGTCTAAACTTAACAGTTCAAACTCATAAAATGTAAAATGTCTCCCAGCATTATTTATTTGAGGTCTAATCAGATGTTGCATATTTATTATTGTTTGACCGGACGGTGTTACGGGGCACCTACAGCGTCCTAGTGTGAAGCATCGGACCATATTTGATGAGTTCGGAGTGAGAACGTGCTGACACATTATTATGTCACGGAAATATTTGTCTCTGTAACTAACTTTTAAAATTCTTGGGAAGATCAAGGAATTCACATTCAGCTTAACAACTGAAGAATCATTGTTTTGATTCTTTAGCAGTTACTTGTTACTTTAGCAGGTTTATAGAAATGAAAAATAAAAGGGCTACAAAGGTGAACAATGCAGTACATTGATTCAGTAAAACACATGGAGTTCTGATTGTGTGAACGAGTGATGTCTTTAATGGGCAGTCGGCTAACAAGCTGGTATTAGCAATAAATACCAGTAACCTTTCTTTTTGGTGATTTTTTTTCTGCTCATTTGCATTGTTCCTGACAGAATATGTCTCATATGTTTCAGAAACTCAAAGATTAAAGACAGTTGAGTAAATAAAGAGGTTTAAAGGGGTGAGGATCACATTATCAGTTGCTAATTTATCGTCTAGGAACTCAACATTTTAAAAATCTGAATGTAACTGAGTCTGAATGTTTCAGTTGAAGAACGATCACTGTGTTTTTATCCGTCAACAAATAAAAAATATGTCCGAACTCAAAGCTTCACTTGGCTCCAGATTTTATTTCATTGGTAAAATGTAATGTTGTCTCTAAGGTTGTACAGTTTGACTTGTTGAGGCATGTTGCTTAGTTTGATTATTTCCTGTTTTATTTTGTAATTTTCCTCCTCTGGTGTCTTGTTTTGTATTACTTCCTGTCTTTGTCTGTTTTCCCTTCAGCTTTGCCCTGATTACCTTCACCTGTGTCTTGTTATCCTTCCCCACCTGTGTGTTCAGTCTTTGTGGTTCTGTGTCGGTTCATTTTGGTTCTTTCAGCCCTGTTTTTGCTTTCTTGGACTTTCTATTTACATTAAATCATTAAAGGGTTGATGCTGTCTTGCATTGAGTCCAATAATCCAACCATAAATGGACTCGGCAGACAATCACCAGAGCAGCTTGCCTATTTCATGTTTTTTGGAGTCCCTCGCTGTGTTTTGGAAGTGGGATCCTGAGTTCTCCCAGTTCGGTTTCAGTGCCTGCACCACCTGAGGGTTTCCCCGGACAGGGCCTGTGATGTCATTGCTGCATGGGCAGTACTGCAGAACATTGCAGGCCTAAAAAAGGAGAGCCCCCCGAGTGGCTGTTGATGTTGACTGGGAAAATGCTCCCATCTTCCCAGACAACATTAATGGCAGACTCGTCAGGGAGCAATATATTGCACATTTTTCTCTTAATTTTTGGATTTAACCTATCTTTAGTTAATAAAAGATCTTAAATGTTACTTTTTGCTGTGTTGTTTAACATTGGTGGTTCTTTTAAATTCTACTTCACATTCATGAAAAAGGGAGGACACCACAATGTTTTCTAGTTGAATTTTTTTTATTTGGCAGTCCTCATTTGCCTTGGTTGCTTGGATCCTGGAATAGAGAGAACAAAAGCAACAAAGATTAAAACTCTGTATTGCAGTTATGGTTACTGTGTTCACTGAAATACTCACTTCTCTTTCTAGTTTCTGGATTTCCAGGTCCAGTTTCCTGAGTGTCCGGCGTTTAATCTCAAGATCCAGCTCCATTTCTTGGAGCTTTCTCTTCTTCAGTTTGGCTTTAACGTCTGCCAGCTCTATCTGTCTCTCCAGGTGCTTCGCGTATAGTCTTGACAGTTTGAGAAGTCTGTAAAAGAAATGTCAATTAGCACAGCAAGATTTGTGCATAATGTAGATTTACTTTGGCCAATACTCAATATGTTACCAGGCTGCTTAGGAGACTGCAGCATCTGGGTCATGTTACACAGGATATTTCCATAAAATTGACATACCTCAAGCCTTCTGGAGTCCAGTGACACAGTCTCCTCATCTGCAGATGTGCATTCTGCAGCTGCAGATGTGCCTTCCCCCTGCCATATACATACATGTATTGAGAGAACTTGAATTAAGATTTCACAGGACATACCAAGCCTGTGAATTCAATATAGCGTACTAACCGGATCATCTTCTGGTGGCTCCAAAAGTGTAAGCGTGTTCCCAGACACTGCAAGGAAATCCAAAGTCAGACAGAATAATATATTTATTTGATTGTGTTCCATGTGCAGTAGTACTGCAATATGTACCTTGTATGAATCGGACAGTTTCTGTGGCTGGGACAGTCTGTCACTGTCCCTCCCTGGATCCCCTCCATCACTGGCCTCCCTTTATTTAAATGGAGTGGCAGCTCCTCCGCTGGGGTCATATCCTGGCTTGGTGGGCCCCCTGTGCCAGTTCTATGTTCTCTTTTTTTAACTGCTACAATCATACAGACATTCAACATGTCAGCAGACACCTAATCTATTCACCTCATTTGTTCACTGTTATCTACTTTATAGTCACTGACCAGCCTGCAAAATGTTCTTGTATTTAACTTTAACTTGCTGCCAGGTCCTTTTATGGCCAGACAAGTTTGTTCTTTATGAAGGATAGAAAGATAAAAGAGATAAAAACGTAACATGAGAAAAATAGATTAAATGACACACATTATGGATAATTGTTAGCACTTAATCATACTCTACATTTCCTTACTCACTCATCCTGGATTTCTTTATTCTACTTTTGTGCAATACCCCTCAGCACGCTAACCTCCACTCTGCATCTCGGCCTGCTAGCAACCGGCCTGCCCTCCAGTCGGTTAGGTTAGGCCTGCCAGCCACCTTTTCATGATTCTTTTCATGAGACTTTAATGAACTGCTTCAGGAACCACCCTGACATCCAGAAGTTGTGGGCACTCGCCGAGCCATTTCGCCCAGAGCATTAGCTGCCCAGCTCCTTGGCCTCGCCGCTGCCAGCACTACTGAGCTGCCGACTGTTCCTTGTCCCCTGTCGGGAGCCCGACTGACGCCTGTTCCTGCTAAGGTATGTGGTCGCTTTTAAAACTAAATATTTTAACTAGATGAAGGATTTTAGTTATCAGAGAAACAAGGTGGGCTAACACTGGCAGCAGCTAATTTAAGGTAAAACTGCTTTATTCAGTGTTTTCGCTGGTTTTAATCAGCGGGTCCATTCAGGAGACATCTGTGAATAATTTGGCAATGATGGTGAAGACAGACGACATTAAACTTAATCTTCTTTTATCTTTTGATGTGAGAGGCCCCCTAGTGGCAGAAATGATATACTGGTTAAAGGTCGAGTGTGTAACGCCTAGGAGGATTTATTGATAGAAATAGATTATAATAATTAGTATGCTGTTGTCAGTGTATAATAAATATTGTGTTTTTGTAACCTTAAAATTAAATGTAAGTAAATCTACAGACGGTGCAGGTCGTCTTCCATAGAGTCCGCCATGTTGAACCGCCATGTTGTTTCTACAGTAGAACGGATAAACCAAACACTGGCTCTAGATGGGGCCTTTCATGTTTATCACACCCACAACTTGATGACACTAAATCCTACACACTGGTCCTATAAAAGAAAAGGAAAAAAACACTTTGCTTAGAGCACGTTATCTTAGTCTTGCAGAGTTGTGAGTATGTTTTGGATCATCGAGAGAACTGCTCTGTGAAACATTGGAGGAATTCTCTCTTCTCGTGAAGTGAAAGTGAAATTAAAAGCAGAAGTGGGTGGATACTTTGATACTGGATATACAAAGCTTATTTGTTTTCACTGCAACATTCCTGAAGCAGTTGGATAGGTGTTAAGGCTCTTCGCTCTGTCCCAGCACATTAAAGGTAAGATGTTTCTATTCTGTCAGTGTTAAGGTAGATTTTGCCGATGCTTCTAAAACTGATCAGTTTGATGACTAACTACAGAAAATATGAGTTTTGTGAGGAAGAAAAGCTTGGAGTTTTACAAAAAGTATACTGTGGCTTTTGAGATAGCTTAGACCAGGGATGTCAAACTCTGGCCCCCCTGCTAATTATATTTGGTCTGCGATTTAATATCAAATTCATATTTTAGCTGGCCCGCCGTGTAACGCATGCACCGCTAATACTACAAATCCCAGAATGCTCTGCTAGTGCCTTGGCGTGTCAAGACCCGCAAGCATCCCCTCCTCTGTTTTCATTCATTCGCGACTTCATGCTACCGGTCACCTGGGGCAGATGTCAGACACCCCTCCCAAAAAATGGCCAAACGGGACATTTCCCGGTGGCCTGGCCGCTGAACTGGCCCGCTCGGCGGACAATAAATCATATTGTCAATGTTTTCTCATGTACTTGAGCTCTCCCTGGCTCTCCTGTAGTTTGTGCCTGGGTATCAGCCAATATTCACTCAGTTTGAATGGAAAAACGTACTGCTGATCGACAAAGTAACAGAGCAGACACACACAGCCCGTATGATACATGGAGGGAGGAGCAGAGAGAGGTGTGTGTGTGTGTGTGTGTGTGAGGGGAAAAAGGCAAGAGCATAAACTATTTTGCAACTAAAACACCCAAATAAGGTAGATAATTAAGTATTAATATTAAAATGGTGAAACACAAAATGACCTATAGATATCTAAATATACTAATATACTACAATATAAACCAAAGGCTTAAAATACACCCAGCAATCGTTGTTGTATGCTTCCTTCATAGTTTGAGACCCCTGTTTTAGATTCATCCTTTTATAAGTTTCAGCTTGAACTGTGTTTTGTTGTTGGCATTGAATCGGGGATAAAAACACTTTAAAGATCTATGTGTGAACTTATAATGTAACAAAAAACATTATTACATTATTTAAAGCAATAACAAAATTATTTTGTTAAACGTGAGCTCTGATTATTGCTTTCCTTTTGCAGCAATGGGAAATTATTTCTTCAAACCTGCTCCGCCACCATCACGTAAGATTACTGATTTACCTTTCATTCACTTGTTGTTCAATAAAGTCAACTTTATTTCTTTAACACTTGTCTTGTACTTCAGTTTCAGAACCGTGGAGAGAAATAAACTGGGGGTAAGTGGTTTTAAATCAAATTTCACAGAAAACTGAAAAGGCACAAATGTTTTCCTCTTTTAGTAATATCCCAATTAACTTCCCAATTGATGATGATGATTAATATTGTTATTGTTATTTATCTTTTTAATGTTTCCTTTCCTGAACAGGGAAAGACAGAGTGCCTTGAAGTCTGTTCAGGACTACAAACCTCGTATTAAAGGCCAGCATCTCCGGATTCTTCTTCATGGACCAGTGGGGGCTGGAAAGTCCAGTTTCATCAACTCTGTTATCAGTGTCCTAGAAGTGAAAATGCGCACACTGGCTGTGACCGAAAGCACAAGTACTGACTGTTGCACCAAAAAGGTATGCAGAATATTTGAATGTGATACAGTGAATTGGAATTTCAAAATATAGCAAAGCTGTAAGTAACTATTCATTCAGGCTTTGAGCCTAAACCTGATTGGACCCACCGAGAAACTGCAGACAGGTCGGGTTCTAACTGAATGAGATTTTTTTTTTTTACAATGTAGAATCTTATTTCATAAAGCATGAGTGAATTGGTTATTTATTGGTTTTGATAATAATTTGCACTATATTATATGCACAATGTAGTTCACATTAGTTCATAATAAACTATTTAACACTAGTACTGACGGGTAGGTAATAAAAACGACACGCTTTTAACCAACTTTTTAAACAGCTGATTTTTTTCTGTAACTTCTAGTGGTTTTCGGATTGCTTTGGGGTTTACTAGAAAATATGAACAACCTTATTAATGTTTGCAAAAAATGTTCTTTTGAAATTGATTATTCAAAGTTGACTCGTAATGTTAGCTAACAAGGCAGCTCTTTTACTCTTTTATACATCCCATAGGCCCGTAAGTCTTTGACAAAGGATATAGTGCATTCTCTCTCATAGCTCTTCTGGCAAGCTTCTTCTGGATTTCTGGATTGAAGTTAATGTACCTCTCAGCAGAAGCAACAGTAGGAACATATACGTTAAATCAGACAGAGTGACCGTGATAACAGCATTTTCCTCCATGTGTTCACAGTACACAACCTACAAGATCCAAAAAGGAAGCCCAGACGCCTTTTACCCTTTAGTCCTCAATGACATGAGTGGTGTAAAGAACGGCACCCGCAGAAACAGAAAAATTCACGTGAAAGATGTCACTCGGTTGATGAAGGGACATGTGAAAGATGGTTACACGGTAAAAATTACTTTACTTTCAAAACTCTGACATTATTTAGTTTAAAGAAAAGCAGTAATGTAATTTCCAGCATATTAATCTTGGTAAAGTCAACCTTTTGACTAGATGTGACTTTGTTTTTCAGTTCAATCCTGAATGTAAGATATCGAAGGATGATCAACACTACAATACATCCCCAACTGTCAACGACAAAGTCCATGTTCTGGTTTCTGTTATTGATGCCAGCAAAGTATCTCTGATGAGTCATGAAGTTCTGGAGGTAATGCTGGACATCAGAGAAGAGGCCAAAGAACTGGGTGAGAGAAATCACCATGTTTTCTTCTTTTCAACATCTTAAAGTGATATTACACCCAAATTAAACCTCTGCTGTACGTTTATTTATTAGTTTCCATCCTCAGAGAGAACAGCCGCTGTGGCCGGTTGGATGAATGTCAAATGTAATGAGTTCACGTTAAAGTTTTCTGGTCTTCTGGCAGGAATCCCTCATGTGGCCATTCTCACCCAAATTGACCAGGCCTGTCCTGAAATCCAAAAAGATATAAAGAATGTCTACAGGAGCATAAAGCTACGTGAAAAGGTACATTATTATTATTTAATAATTAAGTTTGCACAGAGAGGGAAATGCATTTTAAAGAAATTCAGAAAACCATTAATAGTGACACCAGTGGCGTTAAATGAACTGCTGTCAGCGTCCTGTTGCTTGCACTGGATACGTAGTTCATGCACGAGCAAGCATCAGCCAAAAGTGACATCCACCAGACTGAATACTGTAAAATAAATTACTTTTTATATTTAGAATAACATTACTATCCGCAGTGTTGCTATATTTTATACCATTGACCCCATGCTACTAACTAGCTTGTCGTTTAAAAATCCCATTTACAAATATCTCTGATAATGTGTGAACCAATCTGTAAATGTAGACATGCATACTAATGGCTGATAAGTCTCAGTATCTGCTGTATTTTCTCCATTTATAAGCTATTTCTAAACGTTAGCTAGCCTCGCACATTGTTTACACTGTAGGGAAGTGGAGATGGAAGGATACGTAAAATGCTTCAGAATCTTACACGTGGAACTTTTTATAACTGTGAAAACATTTTCAGTATATATTGATTGATTTGACTATAATTTCTGAACTGAGATGTTGTGATTTTTAAACATAGATGGAGCAGTTCAGTGTAAATAGTGGAATTCCGCTGAACTCCATCTTCCCTGTGAAGAACTACCATGATGAAATCGACTTAAACGGTGACGTTGACTCACTGATCCTGAGCGCCCTGAGAAGTATCATCAACATCGGAGAAGACTTCCTGAATCGTAAAAATACATAATGTTCAGATAGATGATGTACAATGTCCAAAAACTATTATGTGGCATTCAACACAGGAACTCAAATGTTTAATATTTACTTGCTGCATTGAACTCATGTTATTAATAAGCAGTGATTTTTAAGGTGGAGCTACTTTATTCAGTGTTTTTAGCGGTTTTAATCAGCAGGTTTTTTGTTTTGGAGAGGAAGACCTCTGTAGATAATTCAACAATGGTGGTGAAAACAGATATCATTAAACTTTAAATCTTGTTATTTAGTTGATGTGAGCAGCGTCCTAGTCACAAAAAAAATTTGTAATGTTTAGGAAGATTTTTTTGGCAGAAATAAAAAGATATATTAATATGAATGGTTGTTTTTCTCACCTTTTTACAATGAGCCTTTTTAATCTACAAAAAAGATGCCACAGGTCGCCTTCCACAGAGGCTGCCATGTCACAGTCATGTTTCTCGCACCCACCATAGTTTCACCATCACGCTTGAAAGGGGAGGGTGAAGCGAGGGAATTGTAATCTGCAACTACATTGTTATATGCCAATAAATGCCACACTGGTCCTTTTTAAATAAAATAAAGTGCGAAAGTGCTTAGAGGAAATGTGTCCCACTATCATAGTCTGCAGTAATGTTTGGGTTTTCAATGAGAGAACTGGCCTGGTGGAAGTTTGTTCTGTGGTATACAGGAACTTGGGGGACTTCTGTGAAAGTGAAAGTGAAACTAAAAGCAGGAGTGGGAGGGTCTGGATATAAATAGCCTTTTTCACTGCGACATTACATCATTCAGCTTAAGGCTCGTTGTCTCAGCACATCAAAGGTAAGATGTTTATGTTATTTGAGTTTTATGGTTGATTTTGCAGATGTTTTTGGTTATCAGTAAGAAATATGATTATTGTACAGAAGCATTTAATTATCCTGTTGAGTTTCAGTCTTCTTGTTACAGCATATTGAATCATGGATAAAAACACTTAATATTAGTTATTATGGTAAACTTGCAGTTATTTATGGCAAAAACTAAATCCTTTCTTTACACATGAGCTCAGAGTAAATGTTTTTCTTTGCAGAGATGGGATCACAGACCTCCAAATGTGGTGCCCCATCATCACGTAAGTGATTATTACTTAAAAACCTTCACCTTTTATTCACACATTGTACAATATCAACATTACTTCCTTAACACTTGTCTGATTTCTCAATTCATCATAAATGGCGAGTACACAAATGATCCTGTGAGTAGTGTGAGGCGAATATTGACCCTTTAATCAGTCTTACAACGGTGGTATGAGCCTAAAATAAACACATTTTAATGTGATTTCATGTCAATAAACTGATCAAAATGAAGCCAAAATAACGACATCGTGATAGTGCTTTTTAAAAAGTCTGAATTTATGCTTTGTCTGGTCTGAGTTTGGATTGATCAGCACCATGGTAACTTAGTTCTTAGTGAAGTATCTCCCTCCCTCCCTCTGTATAAATATGAAATGGTATCATCGAGCTCTGGGTGCACACAGACGGTGGGTGGGGCACCTCCATGGCTCGCAGCAGACAGGTTGAGAAAAGAGGGTGAAAATAAAACCACTTTTTAATCCCAAAATTCTGAGCTCTCCTCTTGCCAGTTAACGTCTCCAGAGCAGAATCCAGTGTGACTGCGGGTGTTTATTCCTCCAGAAGCTCCGGCTCTTTTCTGCAAAGCTCCCCGGGCTCCAGCAGCTGTCTGGGCAGCAGCTGCTCTGTCTCTCCATCAGTGTGACCACATACGATTATCTCAGTACTGATTAGAGCTTTGATTCTCTGCACAAACCTGACTGATTTGTTATTTATTAGTTTTTACTGTAATTTGCTCTGTATTATAGTTTACTTTTGTACCAATAGCTCATCAGATTTATTATTGTTTTGTGATGTGACTGCAGCAGTGGCAGCTCCACTGGCTGCAATAACGCACCAATACCACTCAGTCTTATAGAGAAATGAGCCAACTTATCAGTTGATTTATTACCTCAGTAAACAGTTTCCTAATGTGTTAATGGTCTCAGTCTCTAGTTTCATTCTTCTTCTATACAGCTCTATGTTAATTTAGTAAATGGTCCCATTTAGAGTAAAATAGACCTAAAAGCAGGGTATGCTTTAGGGCGGGGCTACCTTGTGATTGACAGCTCATTCTCAGTGAGTCTGTCCAGCTCAACGCACCAAACTCAGATCAAACTGTCAAACAGTGCTGATCAGATATGGATCCAGATTATGTTACTGCGTTGACTATTCTCTCCTCAAATCTGTTCACTAACAGATTTTACAGTTTATCTGGAATAATATGAGTTGAAACTTTGAAGCCAATGAGAGGAGCTCGACTCAAAGTACGTCACGTCCACTGGCTGTGACAAACTATAATGGCAAAGGTTCAAAGCGTTTCTTCACAAACTGATGGGTGATGTCACGATAGGTTCAGACTTGGTCTCGCCAACATGATTTACAGAGCACCATCAAATCTTAAATCAAAAGTCTGGAAGACATTTGGATTCTATGAGAAGGAAAGTTAGACAAAAGTCTGTCCATTTGTAAGATCTGTTGGACAGCGCTTAAAACCAGCGCTAGCACGATAGATCTTGTGTCATGGTGACATCTATACAGGCGACTAAGCAAAAATACACCCAAGACTCAGATATTAAACACTTAACACTGAGCCAGAACTTAACTCAAACTGGGCGAGGTCTCAGGTAATCACAGCAGAAAGTGTGTTTGTGCCCCAATCGGCAAACCCTTTCTGTTTTCCACGTCCTATATACCAAAAAGTCTAACAGTCACACCTGTTTAATCTCACTCATCGCTCAAATTTTCTGTACTTTGAATACATGTTGTTGTGTCACAGCAGGAAACTTATTCAAGTTGAATCCGACAGAATGAGCGTAATAGTGTTTTTTTCTCAACAGCACAAAACTCACAAGGTAATAAGGACAAGAGTAAATGGTGGCAAAAAAAACAACCTGAAAAAAATCAGTCGGGTGGAGGGAGGTCACAAGGTAAAAACATTGAACTTTTTAAACTCTGACATTATTTAGTTTAAAGAAAAGTAAAGTCATCCTTTGACTAGATGTGACTTTGTTTTCAGTTCAGTCCTGAATGTAAGTTATCAAAGGATGATCGATGCTCCAACGCAAACCCAACTGCCAACGACAAAGTGCATGTTCTCGTGTGTTATTGATGCCAACACATTGTCTCTGAAACAGGAAGTTCTGGAGGCAATGTGGGACATCAGGGAAGCGGCCAATGAACTGGGTGAGAGCAGTAATCACCATGTTTCTTTTCAACATCTTAAAGTGAAATTAGATTCTAATTTAAATCTCTGCTGTAGGTTCCTATTATATTAGTTTCCATCCCTACATAGAGACACATATAAATCAGTCCACAGGCAGCAGGGCAAGATTAGAAGTTATGCTACAACCCGTTCACAATAAAAAGTGATTAATACATAAGAATAATGTAAAATGCTTCAGAATCTTACATATAGAAACTTTACTGTACTTTACCTATACTGTCGAACATTTTCAGTATTTGATTTTGACTGTAATTTCTCAACTGAGATGTTGTGATTTTTCAACATAGATCTTCCATTTGAAGAACTCCCAGGAAGAAGAGCGACGTTGACCTGAGCACACTGAGAAACATCGACATCGGAGAAGACTTTGGCAATCTTAACAATGCTTGATGTTCAGATGTATGTGCATGAAGAACATTATCTGAATTTCGTGATGTACAATTTTACTAGTTTTTTGCAGGTTCCCCTGTCAGGTACACTACCCGGTGCGTAGTCTTATTGATCAGTCCACCAGTGTTTGTTTTAGTGAAGTTGGAAGTTATTTATTCCATGCTTTGAACAACCAGACTGTGATGTTACATGGTGTTAAAATAAATTAACTAAATGTTCAGTCTCCTGTTCAAATATATATTTAATTAATTCAATTAAAATCATAAACATGCTGTATGAAAAGAGACAAAGAAATCCTGGACTAACCCAGCTGTCCTGACCTGTTTATTTATTTTTGGTTGTTGTTACCCCAGTTGCTTCCATTGTTGTTGCCTTATGTCTCACATGTATTCATGACACAACACGACATGCACAAATAAATATATAAATAAATATAAATGTGCAACAATTAGTCAACTGTTGACTTTATCTAACGACTACTAGTCGACTGGGAAAGTATTTTCCAAGATAATACAGGTGCACAGTGCTCACTCCAAGTATATTAAAGTTATAACAGTTACCCCTCATACATGTGTCTACTAGCCTACCTATCTAATAGGAGACTTGAGTGTCGTTAAACACCCACAAACGGGACTGAGAGACCGACAGGACTTTTTGGGTCCCCTTTTGGACATGCTTTAAATCAACCAAAAATCGTGTGAAATGCGCTCTGGTGAACCTTTTACAATTTTTGCCAACAGGTGTGCAAGTGTTTAATCCATATTTGGCCATGGCTCTGCAGGCTGGAGCAAGGATTTCAACAACTCATTCACACACGTTGGTTTTTTGTTTTTTATTGATCCCACACTGGGGAAATTCACAAAAAGGAGTCAGAGGAAGTAATAAGTATTTTAAGAAAAATAAAAAACAACCAGGAAAAAATTATTAATAAAGTGGTCACTAAGATCCTTTCTTTTTAGTTTAAATTAATAAACTTGACATCAGACTTTGACTAGCCCTTTAAAGTGGCTCAGTCCCAATATACTCACTGACCACTTTTCACAAGCACTGGATGTCAATCAGTTTTTCAATAAACAAGCTCAGTTTGCAATTCTCAATAATTGTCTGTTAATTCTCAGTACATAAAGTCCCCATTTGTACTGTATAGAATGACAGGAGTCCACTGTTGGCCGGTATATAATGGCACAAGTTCCCACTTAAATAGCTTAGAATGACATTCACACTCCAGCATGGATGAATAAGAGAAACAAAAAAATATTTTTTGTGAAATGTCAAGTAAATTGTCTCTTGCAACATGACATTTTAATGTTATTTGTAACAAAACAATAAGGCTCAACTGATGTGGATTTCCTAACTAGTTAGTAGCATCAGATTGTATTAAAATGAGGGCTATCCAGAAGGCATGGCAGTAATAAGTAGTAAAGTTTAAAGTAATTTAAAAAGAAAAAATTGGATAAAATCAGGAATTAAATAAGCAGCAACATGATCCTTTCTTTTTAGTTTTATTTAATAATGTAATAATGTGTCCACTCTTGGGTGGTACATAATGACACAAGTTCCCACTTAGATAACATAGAACGACATTCACACTCCACTCAAGTGGCACCAGCAATGTTGACATTGTAGTTTTTTTAAATGTGGAGTGTATTGTGAAAACATAATGACAACATATTATGACACACAATAATATGTAAGTGAAGCAAAAAAAAACAACTTATTTTCGAACTATCTAAGGGACAATTCAGCTAGAGGATAGATTAACCCCACAAAGCCCACTGATTGGTGAAAATGGGTAGCTTCATTTACCTTATTACAGTCCAGATGGTTTCGGTTGGACTGAAGTCTGGACTATTTTAGATTGTGAGGTTCCAAACAAAAGTCAACATATAAAGCCCTGTTCATAGATCTGTATCATTTTGTGATTGTTCTGAGATGAGCTGCCAATAGCGTATTACCACTTCAACGCCAGTTAAAGCACTAACATACCAGTTAGACTTTACAGCTTAAGATACATTTCAGTTGACAATACTGATTCAATTCAACTGATTTTTATTTAGTTTTAAATCTTAACAGAAGTTATCTCAGGGCATTTCATATAAGGTAGGTTTAGACCATAATCATATAAAATAAAGGAGTTAATAAAAACTTCAAAAGTGGCCCATACTGAGTATCAGTGTGAACTTAATACAGCCTGTGTGCCTTTCACTGTGTGCAAACTCTCAGTTCCTCATCCTTCACCATATGACAACTCTCTAATATGCCTTCTATATTTACCAATAAATGTACAACTTCATGTGCCACAGATTGTAAATATTAGGGAAAAACAAATGACAGTTCAATGCAGGTAAGGAATCCAGTCCAACCAAAACCATCTGGACTATAATAAGGTAAATGAAGCTACACATTTTCACCAATGACTACAGTAGATGCTTGGGGTCTAACAGTGGGCTCTGTGGGATTAATCTATCACTTACATAGTGTGTGTCATGCTAGATGATGGGTTGTCATTATGTTTTCACAATATACTCCACATTTAAAAAAACTACAATAACATCATTGCTGGTGCCACTTTAATTCAAAATTAAAAACATCACTACAGATTATATTATATTTAATTTAGATTATTACTTTCTCCTAAGGATTTTGCTTATTTCTTTTTTATTCACCCATGCTGGAGTGTGAATGTTGTTCTATGCTATCTAAGTAGGAACTTGTGGGGACTTTTTAAGTACCTAGAATTAACAGACAATAATTGAGAAGAATTGCAAACTGAGCTTGTTTGTTGAAAAACTGATTGACATCCAGTGCTTGTGAAAAGTACACAGCAAGTATTTTGGGACTGAGACACTTTAAAGGGCTAGTCAAAGTCTGATGTGAAGGAAAAAAAAGGATCATGTTGCT